TATCTCTGGAATTCCTGGCTCGGAGCAGGCCTGTCGAGCGCTGGCGGGACAGGCGTGCTTCTGATTGTTTATCCCGAGGCCTCTGTGTCCTGTTCCAGGGAAACCCTCTTCGGTGCTGCGGTTGGGTTAGACCTGCAGGTCGTCAACCCGTCGCTAAGGTGATGCCTGCTGTGCTGTGATTTTCCCCCAGAGCTCTGCAGCCTTGGCCCAGCCTGGCCCCGTCTGTGCCGCCCCAGAGGTCAGGTCACGGAGCAGTGTCTCTCCCCAGCCAGCCTGTGCGCCCCCTGGCTGGTCCCCTGGCCGATCGCATCTGTGGCTTCAGCTGGCCACTGGAGAGCTGGCCTGCGGGACCCTGGCCGGGAGGGCTGGGCTAAGGCTCAGATCTGGGCTTCTCTGTGCACCGTGTTTAGCATCCCTCATGCCATCGTGTCAGAGTGCTGTCATGTTTGTCGGTGGTCAAGTAAAATGTAAAAGTGGAACTTTGGAGTCAAAGGTTCCAATTTTTTGAATTATAGTGAGGCAGCTTAGGTGATAAATGGTGTCTTCTCATCCCCAAATCCAGGTCCATAAAGCTCTGCTGACTGGATTCCAGGCCAGGCCAGGAGGATCCATGGGGGAGGGGCTGGCGTGTCCCCTGTGTGGGGGATGGGACTGGCATTCCCAGCCATTCCCAGCTGCACTGTGGGCGTGCCTGAGAAAGCCAGGGAGCCTGGATCTCGTCAGAGGAGCTGGTCTGTGCCTCCATCAGAGCTAGGGTTTCCTTGGGTGGGGGCACAGCACTGCACGCTGTAGCAGCAGAACCCGGCCACCTTCCAGCCGCAGGGAGCATGGTTTTGGTTTGGGGTCCCTTCGTTTTCTTCCTTCCTCTCCCCCTTCACCCCCTCCCTCCTTCTGTTATCTCTACCCCCTTTCCCTTCCAGGCCCCCCTCCTCGACTTCCTTCCTTCCTTCCTTCCAAAAATGTTGCTATTTATTTGAAAACTGTCAGGCAACCAGACGTAATTGGGATGACAGAAAGCAGAGGTCCCCACACTTGAGCGGAGGCATGTGGAAGCCCAGATGGCTGCCGCCCCCCAGGTTCTGACTCAGGGGGTCCGGGTGGGGCCTCAGGTGCTGCATCTCCGACAGGTCCCCGTGAGGCCCCTGTCCTGGGAAGGACACTGTGACCACCATTGGTTTAAAGAGCCCATGTCCACCTCCAGCCCCAACAGCCCTCCCCTTACAGCCATGTGGACCCCACCGTCCCCACCCAGGTTGTGTTAAGGCAGATCTGAGCAAAACCATAGTATTTCATCCTCAACATTTGAATGTGTATCTCAACAAGGATGGTATTGGGCAGAGGAGGGAGGTTCAGGGCCCAGACCTCAGGCTGAGGCGACGAGCTGCGGGCTTGTGGCCACCGCCTGCACGTAGGGGAGAGAGCGGCCTGGGACCCTGGGGCCATGCAGCCGGCCCCGGTAGGAGCTGCTGGGGACCAGAGCCTGGAGAGCCAGCCGAGGTCGGAGGATGAGCTTGGGTGAAGTCATGAAGGGAGCGGCCAGCACACTCCCACTGACGGCTGGCTGGGGTGTCACGGTCCTGTGTCTAAACTGTGTTTTCACACCCCGAGCAGTCTGTCCTTTGTCTCCTAAATTCCACAGATCCTGGTGCTTTCCTCCATTGTTGTCATCTCCCTTGAGGTTGGGAGCTGGAGGCGGGTAACACGGAAGCCCTGCCCTAACCCCAAAACCCCAGGGCTTTGGAGGGGGTGGTGTGTCCAGGTTTTGAGCATCCTGTGCATGCGCCTCGGGGTGGTGGCCGGGTGGGGTTCTTCTCCAGGGTTGTCTGGCCTCCTGGACCACGTGGGTCTCTTTGGGACTGGGGGCCTCTGACCTCCCGCAGTGGCCTCACAGCTGTGCCTCATCCTTGGCCTGCGGTCCAGCCAGCCCCGCCCGCTCATGTTCACGGCTCTTCTGTCCGCCCAAAAGCAACCGCTTCTCACTTGCTGGGCTCCCCGCTGCCCTCCCTGCCCCTGTTCCTGCACCCGGAGAGATCTTTCTGTCAGAAGTCAGGCCCTGCTGTGTCCCCGCTTAAAAGCCTTCAGTGGACCTACGTTCCTTCAAGCTGAGGTTCCAGATACAGGAGCTGAGGGCTGGGCCTGGATAACCTGGAGCTGAGTCCCGCCCTCGGGACTTCCCTCCCGGCCAAATGCCCTTGCCCCACACTCCCCGGCGGCCCTGGCTCTCTTCCTCTTTGCTCCTCAGGGTCTGGCTTAGGGCTTCTGTCCCCCAGGAAGCCCTCCTGACACTAGCATTGGGTTAAGTTCCCGCCACCCCTCCACCCCCACTTGTCACTTGTTCATGGTCACCAATTGCTTCATCTGCATCCCAGGACTCTCAAAGCACACCTTTAAAAGTCCTTCCCGGGCCCTAGGCAGTGCGGTGAGTTCCTGTGGCCGGGCTGGTGGCCTGGGCTGGTGACGGCTGGTGACGGCTGGTGAGTGGTGGCCCCTGCAAGCGAAGTACAGAGAGTGAAAGTAGCATTTGGAAACTCTTCAACCCTCTGACATGGCTGTGACCTCAGCGTGCAAGTGTGTGTTGTACACAAGTGTCAACGGTGATGGATTTGCCATGCACCGAGGAAGAGCTGGCCCGAGGCCCACTAGCCCATGAACCGCCGTCAGCAACTGGAGGGTGGGGCCGGGCTCAGGCGACTGGAGGGGATGAATTTGGGTTTGCATGTCACCTTGGCGAATCATTGCCATCTTGTATTTTGTTCATGTAAAGACTCGCTCATATCAGATACATTCTCACGTGAGTGATCGTTATCTCCTGGGCTCCGTTTCATGTTCTTGGCAATGTTGGCGTCTTAGGAAGAACCGTGCAGTGAGGACTTCCGAGATTCTCTTGGAGGATCTCAGGCTGGCGTTGGGTTATTCTGCTGATGATAGCCTCACAGGGTAAAGTTGCCTGTGCACGGGTTTTGCGCTGAAGGGCTGACCCGCAGGGGCCTCGGGCTCTCAGCCAGCGGCCCACAAGCATGATCCTTACCTCCTGCATCCTGAGTGCTTTGCTGTCCACATACAAGTCCTGTGGGTGCTGCATAGGGCAGCGATGGCCAGGATTTGAAATTGCATGGAACTGCACATTTATCTCCTTTCTAAATCATATTCTGTGGGCCAAGTTGATCTGCCTTCGGGGTTGGCTGGCTGTGTCCTTATGAGGAATTTATTTTATAACTTGGTTTTGTTCACGTGGTTCCTTTATCAACCAAGCTCATGTCCTTCAATCGGGGGTTGTCCTCAGGGATGGGACAGACATGTCCGGCTGGACCTGAGGACCAGAGGGGACGGTGGACCGTGGCGGAAGCCCTTTGCTGGGTAGCTGGGGTCTGTTGGGACATTACCGCACTCCTGTCTCCCTCTGCCCCCCCGCACAGCCCCTTCCTCTTTCTTACATTCCACCCCCTTCTTCCTGCATGCCCTCCCTTCTCTTTCCCAGCCCCCCTCCCAGCCCCACCCCAATCCCAGCTGGTGGGGTGTGGCCGCCTGGTCTGAGCCGGTGTAGACACTGAGCCCGCAGGCTGCTGGGCGCCGGCTGCCCTCCGTGTGAGTGTCCTCCTCGCTGGCCGCTCCATGGGGCTGGAGGAAGCCTGTAGCCAGTGCCAGTCTAATGGGCCTTCCCTGCCCTCCCCTCCCGCGCTGCCCCTCACACAGTGTTCAGAAAATTGAAAATGGCAGTGAGGAATCCACATGCTGACACAGCAGTGGTTTTGACACCTTGATTTGACACCTTGATGTGGTCGTGAACAAGCCAGTCAACCACTGACAGCTCAGCTGTGTGGTCAGTTTTCCTCTTAGATGAGAATTTAGAAAGAAGATGAACTTAATTCCCTACAAGCCTGGGATGGGGTGATGGGTGTCCCCTACCCCAGGACCCGCCGTCCCAGCATGAGTCTGCCACGCGGGAGCCCACCGCTGGGGAGACCCTGAGTGACCCGACACTTGGCCACCTCGCTGCTCACTGGCCCAGAAGCCGGTGCCATCCCCCGTGGCCCCGTTTTAAGGTTCTTCAGGGGACAGTGGGGTCGGCTGAAAATTGTGTCTATAGATCTGGTGGGAGAATTACGAGGGTAGCCCCGAAAACTAAGTGGATGGAAGGTGGAATGTATTTGACGCCAGGAGACCTGGACCCTGACAGGTTGTGCCACTTGCCTCCCGAATAGTGGGTGAGCACGAGGTTGCACAGCCTGAAGCAGCATTCAGGTGCCAGGCTCGCCGGCACTGGTTGGCCGGCGTCAGGCGTTTTAAACACTCCCAAGCAGAGTACGGGAAAACGGCCGCAAGCTGACAGACAGATTCTTGTTTAACGTAACACTTCCAACAGCTCTGGTCTTGGTCTTGAGAAAAGATGGCTCCCCGGCCCTGCAGGAGTGGAAGGGGAAGCTGAGGGCGGAGGGTTGTGGAGAGGTGACCGAACAGGAGTTGTGGAAATCCGGGTCAGAGTCCCAGCCCCGTGCCCTCGGACACGTCTGGCAGCCTCTCCCAGCCTCCGCTTCCTGCTCTGTAAAGGGAGGGACTGAACCAGGGACCCGTGGTCCCATCCTGCTCAAATACTTCACTGCATGCATTAGTCTGTTGTATCTTCAAAGGAAGGCGGACTGCCCAGGCCTGCCACTTGGGGGCTGGGTGACCTTGGGCACTTTCTCGGCGCCTTAGTCCCCTCATGTATAACCTGGGGGCGTTAATAGTGTCTACCTAATAGTGCTGTCAGTAACAGTAACTCCTTCCCAGAGTATGCGAGGAGCACATGGCTACTATAACGGAAGCCCTGAGAAGAGAGCCCGCGGCACTGGGTGAGGGCTCCATTAGTGGCGGCAGTCATTGTTACCCTTTCGAGTCTGTGGTGGCATTCCCGTAGATCCGTTAACCTCTGGACAAGGTTTTCTTTCAGCAGCATCCTTGTGACCCTGGGAAGGGGCCCCCGGTCCGTGTTCTAACACAATTTCCCCGGTGTGTTTCAGGCGGAGGCCAGGCTGGCAGCGAAGCGTGCGGCCCGCGCAGAGGCCCGAGAGATCAGGATGAAGGAGCTGGAGCGGCAGCAGAAGGAGGTAACGCCGACCTCTTCCTGGTTCTTTTCACAGGCGATTTAATGTGAGGTGGAGTGTGTGAGTCAGAGGCACCTGTCCATCCGACACAGCTCATGATCAGAACGCCCTGGTGCCTGTGACTTCTGCTCAAGGTCAGGCCAGGGAGGGTGCATAGCACAGATGCCAAGCATGCCTGTCCCAGGCGCCCCGGCCTGCGGGATCCGGACGGAGCCACCTGCCTGCATACTAGTAGGTCCACCCAGCCTGGCTTTCTGGCTCTGCACTTCAAGGTCTGTCTTCTGAATTAAAAATAGGAAAGAAGAACAGACGATTGGGTTTTTATACTAACTAAACCGTTTTGTTTAAAAATGTTTCCCCTATGGTTTTACACTTTCTTTAAATTAAATCTTCATTGTTGAAAGTATTATGTAAGTCCCCTTTCCCCACCATTGACCCCTTGTAGCCCTTCCCCATTGCCCACCCCAGGCCTTCACCACCCTATTGTCTGTGCCCATAGGTTATGCATGTAGCGTACAGACTCTTCCCACCACCGCCCCCTTCCCCGGTTTACACTTCTTAATAGGTTTCACAAAGCCTGAAGCCGAGGGCAGTACAGAGCACAGAGTAAGCGCCATGGATGCATAGCCAGGGAGGAAATGGCTGCCCTGGGAGAGCGGAGAGTGGTGTGTTTACACACCTGTGAAAGGTGTTCGCTACTTGTTTTCTTAATCTCGAGCTGGAGCCCAGTCATGTGGACAGCTGAGGGCTCTGTGCCTGGCAGTGAGAGCTCTGAGCTTTTCCATGACCTTGAGGTCGTGGGGGAATGAGGGTGTCCCTCGCCATGGGACCCTGTGCTCCTGTGGGCCACGCCCTTGGAGACCACCACCCCCCTCCCCCCAGGCCCCACCGAAGGCTGCGCTTGTTCAGAAAACTCGAATGGAGTGTGTGGGAAAGAGCTGGCCAGCTGCCTTCCCCGGGGTTGGCTTGTGTACACAGTCTTGTTTGGTTGCTCAGGCAAATTGTAAGAGTCCAGCTGATGTTTTAAAACTTGTGAGATTTCAGGGGGAAAATCTAGATTTCCAGATTCTCTTAAAAACCATTGCAGATTCTGCCACTTTCCTGTAGGATGAGGCTCCAGACATGGGTGACTCGGGGTCACTCTCTGCCTGAGGGTCTGTCACTCCCTGTGGAGGTGTGTCCCTGGGGGAGGGTCATGGCCAGAGGTGAATATGGGGAGGAAACCCGTCCTTGTGGTTTGAGGAATGGGTAGAAGGTCATTAGAAACTCCAGCCCGGAGAGGACCGGGTCCCTGAGAGGCCACCCCGCACAGTGTTGTTGGGAAGGGACTGTGTTGTAGGTCGCACTTGTGCTGTGTTTCTCTGTGAATATGAGCTAAACAAGTGTTTGCAAGTAGGTTCTCCTCCTTGCTGGAAATACAAATACAGTTGGAAGCAAGTTCTGGTGTTCATGATATAGATTTAACTTAGTACTTCAATTGTTTGTACTTTTTTCTCTTAAGTCACTGGAAGGATCGTGGGGTTAGCGTTTTCTCAGTGTCCTGCCCCTAGAGTTGCATTGATCAATTTAAAATTGAATAAATGATTCGGACTTTGAAACTTCCTGAGGCCCAATGATTCTCTGGAAGCACCTTCCTGTCCATTATCTTGGCTGAAGGCAAGAACTGGAACCTGATCAGTACCTGCCCAGGAACTCAGGGAGGGGCCGGGGGAGGGGCGTGTGAGCCACACAGTGGGCAGAGGCCCATTCTCAGGATGCATCACCATTTGCGGAGGCAGGTGCCAGCACCACAAGCCTCCCACCCTCTTGGTGGCTAATGGTTTTGATCAGCTTTCCCAGTTGCTCCAATAGCTTCCAGTCCTTTTTATATCGAGGTCTTAAAAGAGCTCTAAGAAGTATTTGTCCCAAGTTTCTGTTGCTGTGCCAGGTTTTGCCACGGTGATTGAGTTTCAACACGGGATCGGCCCTCCTCCCCCAACTGTCCCCTGAGCTCTGTTGTTGGGGTTGCACCGGCAGCTCAGGAGAGAGGGGGCAGTGAGGCTTAGGGGTCTGACCTTGGTGTTCATGGTGGTGTTAGTCACCATTTTTATAGCTTTTCTCACATTTAAGAGAAAGTGATTTTCACCAAGTATACAGTGTAACATTTGTACAAAATCAGGATGAAAATGAGTTACAGTGTATGTCAAGCATTTCAAACTCCTGGCTGGCAGGCCACATGCCTTGGCGCCTGTGCGTACATATCTGTCTTCCAAATTATACGTTTAGATAAAATATATCCTCTCCTCATTTACAGACAGAATTAATTTAAATGTGCACTTGATAACCTAAGCAGGTTCTTGCAAAGTTCTTTATTTAGAGAATAAAAATGAAGTAGAATTAAGCCAGGAAGCCATGTGTTTGAATGGCTTCCTTTAAACACCCAGCCCTGTTTCTCTGTTTGAGTCAAAGGAAGTCGTCTTCTGTTTCATTTTAATTCTACAACCTACGATAACCCTGCCTGGTAAGTCACGGCCCTTTAATCTCTGTAGTGCGAAAGGGGCCTTGGTGGCTGTCACACAGGGCTGGGCACCCCAAGGACAGCATGGGCTGGCACCTGAGCGCTTACAGGGCCCAGGGCCCCTGAAGCCTGGCCTGCCCTCGGAGTTTGGCACCTGCTAAGGATCTTGGGCTTTGCAGAGAAAAGCCGATTAAAGCCTGGGAAACCCGGTTAAAAAAACGCCACCGTTGCTCCCTCGCTCATACACACACGTCTCATTTGGTCAGTAGATGGCATTGCGATTTGAAATTCTTCATCGTAATGGCGTGTTTCACTCCCATTGTAAAGACACCAGTGGTTCACAGGGGCCAGAGGCTTTTGTCACGATTCAAGTTCATGGACCATCTCACACGAAGGCAGTCTGGTTGTTTGAGTCCTCTCGGCACTCAGCTGCCCAGCAGAGATGCCCGAGACATCGGACAGAGTTTCCACGTGAGGGGTTGAGCTGTGGGAGGAGAGGGAGGGCAGCGTGGCCTCCCTGTGAGGAAACACCTTAGGTCACGTCACTTTTTATCTGTCCCGTGTGCATCGTGTGTCTGTCTGTTCTCACACTCCTCACGGACGGACAGGAACACTGTGAAGACGTCTCCGCTGCTGAACTTGAACTCCCACTGGGGTCAGGTTGCAGCCTGGAGACCGGCCCCCATGCTGTGAATGGTCGAGTTGTGCAGTGACAGCCAGTGTGTGCTCAGGGGGAAGCGGAGACAGGGACTCGGGTCAGCACAGCCCGTGGGGACCTCGCATGAAGGCAGCCGAGAGCGGGAAAGCCCGGTGGCACATGGCAGGTGAGCGCAGAGCCCGGCAGGGGTGCAGGGTGGGGTGGAGGCCGGCTCCATCCTGGGGTTCATGGCCATCACATGACTGACCCACACAGGCAACTACTTTGCTCTCATGCATGCAGGGTCTTCGAGGTCGGAGCGCCCACACTGAAAGTGCATTGAAATAAAACAGAGGTGTCTTTTACCTCTGGTCCCGGAGAACTGGGTGGGGCAGAGGGGAATGGCAGGGCCATCCCGGAGCCCCCGCCGTGCGGCAGTGCTGGGCTGGGGACTGTTCCTCACACCCTGTGAGGGGGAGTTCGGGTCTTATTGGCAGGTGAGGAAGCCAAGCCTTGGAGAGGTGGGTGGTTTTACCCGCAGCCAAGAAAATGGCCAAGGTTTCATCTAGAACTGAAAAAGCTGCAGAGCTTGCAGTCTTCTCAGTGCACCCTCTGCCTCAGGATGAGTGTGTGCTCAGCAGTGAGAGCAAACAGAAACCGAGTGCAGCTTCACCGTGGGATGGAATTGGCTGGGAGCGTGCTGGCACTCGAAGCAGAGGGGGCCGGGTGAGCTCATAGTCCTGGTCGTTTCACAAGCGGAAGCGCACCTTGCAAAACAAGTTTTTCTCTCGGTGCTGAGCCGAAGGAACAGTGTGATCCACACAAACTAGGCAGTTTTATTAACAAGAGCGTCACAGAGAACATGGAAGCAGTAGCCACTCACCTGCTATTTCTCGATCGGACCACGTCCGGGAGTGAGGAGCGACGGGTGTGCCTGTGGGCACCTCCAAAGCGGGTCTCGTCACCAGTTCAGATGGGGGTCTGGCTTCCTTAGCCTCGCTTTGGACTGTTTGAGCGTTGTGAGGATTCACTAAGGAAGGAGATAAGTAGATATTCTTTGGGAAATCCAAGTGGACCTTTTGTTTCCCGTGAAAACCTGCAATCATAGGAAAACGGTGGTGATACAATGACCAGGGTGCGCCTGACTTGGTAAACAGTTCGTTGGGGATACTGTGTGAAATAGTCATCATGTGGAATGTACACCCCTGTGCTCGCCCATGTGCCACTACAAATGCCAAGTTTCCAGGCCTACCGTTCGGCAGTGCCGTGAACAATGCCCAACTCAGTCCCTGTTTCGTCGGCTGAGTGAGTGAGTGAAGCAGGTGTCTCTTACCTAGTGATTCCTACAAGATTAGGAGAAACCTCTGAAGCAAACTGCTGGGTCAACGTATGATAATAAGCTTTTCAAAAGTACATTTCAGCTCTATTCTAGAGCCACTCTGCCTCGCTGGAGACTGTCTGGTGTTCTGTCTGCATCCCCAGGAGGGAGGACAGACGAGCACCGTTCTTTACATTTGTGGGTTTGAACCCTTCACTCTCTAATCAGGTTTCTGTACTTTTTTGTTACTCTTTATCACTGTAAGAAGAAATTTTAAATTGAGGACAAAGTCTCTTGTCCCATTCGTGGTAACAGGTTACAGACTTCTGCCTTAGCATAATGCCAGATTCTCATGGGCACTCAGGTGAGCGTGCCGTGTTCTGCTGATCTATCTATAACGAATGTCAGGTAAAGTTATGAAATGAGACTTCAAACATTTTTTAATTCGTACTTTACCAATTAGTCACTGTCTCCCCTTCCTCCAATGTACATTTACTCATATATCTGGGTACTTGTAAAACCTTTCTGTCTGATGTATCGACTTTTTAAATTGGATTTTACATTTCTCTTTCTATTTCTCTTGCCTTCTCTGTAGATCTATCAGGTCCAAAAGGTAGGCTCTCTGTTCTTGGTTTTCTGTTTGCATGCACTGGCTTTCTCTTGCCGAGGGCCTGGCCGCCTTTCAGAACTAACGCCTTTTGCTGAAAACACAGAGAAGTCCTTCCTGCTTCCCTCACTGCTTTTTGCGTGAAGCGACTTGAACAGGATGCTTACGTGCCCGCCTCTGTCTCTGCAGAGAGCACCTTTCCCTGGCGCATGCGTGTGTGCTGAATGCTTTCCTCACCTTCATTTTTCTCAAGAAATCAGAAAACTGTGTCTTTGAGGGGGAAAAAAAACGAATTCTAGGACAGAATTAAATCACATTTCAGAATTTGGGAAATCCTTTGAAATCAGGTGTTTAAAGGGAACGATTATCCTTCCATATAATTTTATTTGAAAACATTAAAAATATCGGTACAGATTACCACATGGTAAGAGATTATTACCGTACTATTAACAATTCTGAGTAGAAAAGAAAATGATGACATAACAATACAATTCTGTAGCTTCCCGTCAGCCTGCCTCTTTCCCTAACATGGAGAGTGCTAGTGTGCGGCTGGCTCCCAGTGTTTTGTAGCAGCAGCTGAGGTTCAGAACTACATGGGCTGAGCAGGCCAGACACGGAAATTAAAGAGAAAAGCACCAGGTACGTGACGCCCGATTCACCAGGAATGAAGGGAGCAGTGAGAGGTTCCCTGAGAGTTTATAGAGCGTGTACACAGTCTCCCCATACAAGGGTTTCATATGACACCTATCGTATTGTCTTCTTATACACTTACTCACTTTATAGTGGTAAAGAACCACTATGTTTTTCTTTTAGACCAGCTAACAATTACATTTAACTTCAAAGATTAGGACGTGCGGGCCCTTTCGACACACTGTTTACAATGCTGTTCCTTCACTAACTGCAGCCCTGAAGTGCCTTTCTGTCCTGCCCCATCAGTACCACCTGGAGGGGGGTAAGGAAGTCAGTGAAGTAGGCACCAGCATCTGCGTGTGGGTTAGATTTCGTAGGGCCTGAGAATTAAAATGTGGACTGAAGCTGCAGCCAGTCACACGTACAGTCTCGGGGCAGAGGCAGCAGGTGACAGGAAGGCCGGAGCCCTGGCTGTAACTGACAGAGCAGGCACGACTGTCCTCATGCCGACACAAGAGACTGTCCGCTAATCGCCACTTGGATTCTTTCATTCGATGCTCATCCAAGATGGCCATTGTTTTCTTCTCACTCGCCCACCAGTTAGAACTCTGCCAGATGGAAATGTGTGTGCAGAGTGAAATGAGTCCTCAGCGCAAAAGCAGAGACACATTTATACAATAAAGATGGGTACAAGGGCACGACAAGGACGAGGAGGCGGTGGGGCTCTCCAGCCCATTTGGCTGCTTTGAGTGACGGTTTCTCTTCTGTGGAATCACAGCTATTTCTGAAAGCCACGCACCTTGTGCGTTAGCCTGGCTCTCCCTTCCCCCGCATGACTCACCGGCTAATCCTACTCGCTCACATTTGAGGTGCCGTGTGCTTCCTGGAGTCCGCTGTGCTGCCTGCTAGCAGCGCCGGGGCAGCTAGCAACTGCACTTGCTGTTGGCTTCTGGGGCCCCCCCTCCACAGGATGACACGGAGACAGCGAGAGTTACGGCCGCCGTTTATAAGGCAAAGGCCACCCATGAGCTAGATGGAAGAGCAGTAGATCGTGTGCAGGACTTGATATAGTATGTGCAAAAAGAATAATGGGAAAACTCATGATAGAGACTACTTTTTGGATTTAAATAATATTTTGTGAACTTACATAGGCCCTTCTTTTTAAAAACCCATTTCCTATCTTTATAATTAAGCCATAAGCTAAAGGAGGTCGATGGCATTACATTATACTTACCTGGAATCTAACAGTGAGAGTTGGGAATGCAAAATAGCTTTAAGCTATTGAATTTTACGTAATTGGATATTAAAATATGACTGGGAATTGTTTAATTGTATTTATTGTCTCCATTTGTAGTCTAAGGCACATCACTCAGAGAAAAAGATTTGGCTCGTGTACTTTTGATACTGCAGTTCTGTACCGGTTGAGTTTTTAAAGCGTTGCTAAATTCTCCCTCCCGATTTTTCCTCTTCCAATTCTCTATTTACACCACCTCTAAGAGAAAGGGGCAAGGCCATTGGGGATCTTAAATCTGTCCGCCCTTCCAAAGAAACAGAGACCAAACCCACTGTAGCAGCATCCAGTGGTGGTCCCTGTAAAAGAACCCCAACAGTTCGTTTTACCTCTCACCCCGATTGCTTGCTCTTCTGGTCAGAAGGTTTTACTGTGTGAAGAGGAGAATCACGTTTACGTTACAGAGTGTGGTTGGTTGTTCCCTGATTTTCTCATTGGAAATTTAGGGCAAAGAGAAGAGCAAAACCCCATTCTTTGAGCTTTATCTGGGGTCCCCTGCCTTCGGGATTGCTGTATTTGGTAACAGGGATGGCCGGTCTGAATCTGCTTTTCTCTCTTGAGCCAGATGGAAACATGGAGGCATTCGCTAAAGAAAAGCAGGACGTAACTTGCAAACATTATTTGTTCCCTGTACAGAGTCCCCCCCCCGTAGCTATAAAGACACCCAAAGTTTGTAAGTTCAGCGTGGGTATCAGAGCAGGAACAAGTGTGCAGAAATCGGGGCGGGGGGCGGCAATCACAGTTGCCCCCTTTCTGCTACATTTTCTCATTCCTGTTGTGGTGACACAGAACTGCTATCGGCCTCCGCCCCTCGGAACCAGTACGGGGGCTCCCAGTGCTGTGGCTCAGTGTCCATCCTGGTCTCTAGGCCCCTGCGCCCCAGGAGTGCATTGTCCTGGCTCCCCGGGCTTGCAGGTGGGAGTGGGGTGGGCGGGGTGTGTCCCGGGCTCCGCTGCCTCACTGCTTTGTCTTGGCGTGTTCCCCTCACCGTGTGGCTGGGCAGCAGCTTGGGAACGCATGTCAACCAGCTCCCTGTGCATGGACCATTTCCCTTCTTGCCTAATTGTCTCTCCCTTCTGTCCTAGAAATATTATGGGCTGTATACGAAATGGGGTGACATCGAGCAGTGGATGGTAGGCCTTGGATGCGATTTTAAGAAACTTGCATGGTTATAATTTTATTATTACCCAGCTTAATTACATAAATAGATTCCTGTTGCTCCATAATTTAATACCCAGAGGTTTCCTGCCATTTCTCCTGCGTCTGGCCTGGTTGTTTACATCCCGACAGGGGCCTGAGTAGGAGGCCCCTGGCCAGGCCTTTGGTCTGGTCTGTGCAGCTGACTCCTGGAGTCTCCATGCCAGTCTCCAGGAGGTCGATGCCCCCTGACCGCCTGGGGCAGAGTGCTGTCCACTAGGGGCACTCGGTCCGGGCGTGTGTCCCAGGCATGAGGACTCACCCATTTCCATCCTGCCTCCCGGGCTCCAGTTGGAACCCAGAAGCCACGTTATGGTCCATTTCCTTCTCTCACTATCGTCATCGGCTGCCTCGTCACCCTCATTCCATCCTTTATCTGCCTTCAATGTTTGCCCCGCCCCCACCTCACCCGATATTCCCACTGAAACCCCTGTTCTTTGGCAGAAAATAAGTTCTGTACCTTCTCACTATTTCCTAGAACAGCTTCTCTAGCCTCCTATGCAGTTGAGAGCTAGCTCACCCCTACCATGTCTTTAGGTGACCCACTGCCCACTGGGTGCTGTCCATGGTCCCCAGAGGACATGGCTTCTCCTGTCATTGATCCATGCACCTGAGTGTGCCCCTCCTCCTGTCCTTGTCACCAGCCTCCTGGTCATTGTCATATACCTTTAGCACTTGAGTACCTGGCCAGTGTGGAACTGTCCTGCTAACTACTAGTATCCCTGATACATAAAATAATCTGAGGAAACGTAGAATTTCTTCCTGGCATCATAGGTGCCTGCATAAAATACGAAAGGCAGTTCTGGAAATATAAGGAGCACACACTGTTTAAAAAACGATGAACTGCAGCCTTCACTGTGTGAGAGCCATCATGTTAGGCCTCTGTGGCACAGGCAGCTGTACTTGCCTCCAGTCTCAGGACACCGTGGAAAGGTGTCGCTGGTTTCTGTCCCACCGAGAAAGAGAAAAGCTGCTTCTTACTGTGGTGAGCCGCTCCGGTGATGCGGTGTGCCGGCTTCAGGGATGTCCCGGTGTGCAAACGGCATCCGTGAACGCACACAGCACACCAGAGAGCATGCATCCTTACGGGCTCTTCGTGGTCATGGTGTCTCTTCTGACCCCCGAGGGGAGGAGAGGCAGGTTCTGAACGTAAGAAGAAAAAAAAAAAGCGAGTGGGTCGAAATGGACCAGACTTTAGAGGTTATAAAAAAATTAGGACTCGGCTTCTCCTCCACCACACACTTATTTTGAAAGCTGAAATGAAATATGACGATTATTTACCTATTTAAATACCCCACTTTATATGGGAGAGATAAGAGATCAACCAAAAACCGAAGGACTTGTATACATGCATATAAGCATAACCAATGGATAAAAAGCTCTGGGGAGGGAGGGTATGTATGGGAGTGGGGGGGGGAGGGTGGTAAGGTATGTACACATATAATACCTTAATAAAAAAAACAAAAGAAGAGAGAGAGGAAATAAATAAATAAATAAAATAATACCCCACTTTAGAAGAAAACATTTCTCGCCGGCAATGTAAGTGAAGCTTTAAGCAAAGGCAAAGGGGACGTTATCCGTTTATATCAGGAATGCTGTGCGGACTGTCCATGCCTCCCGTGTCCTCTCTAACCTCGCGCTCTCTCCTGTGCTCCGGCAGGAAGACAGTGAGCGCTGCTCGCGCAGATCCAGAAGGAACACCTCGGTTAGTACCGCGTTCACTCGTCACTTGGGCGTTAGGATGGAAATCTGACTTGTATTTTTAGTGATTCATCTGTTACCTCAATGATGTTTATGACAGAGGTTAATACTGATATTATTACCTAAACAAAGACTGTGAACTCAACTTGTAGCATTTTGACCTAACTTTGGGGAGGGGAGAGTGTTTGAGGAATTTCTGAGTATTATTATACTCATAACAGTTTTAAAGCTGCTTTTGCTAACGAATACCCACGAACACTTCACAAAAGAACGTGCATCGAGGCTATGTCGTCGTAGACTCCAGTGAAGTAAACAGCAGCTCGTTAATAAAATTAATTGAAAGCTGTATTATCTGGAAACAGCCTGCTGGAAACAGAGGCGCACACAGCCCGAGCTGGCTAGGGCCTCGGCTCGGGGCACCGAGCTTTGCCCGTCGGCCCCATAGCTGTGGTGTGCGGCCAGCCGCCTCCCGCCGAGAGTTGGCGTGGGCATCTCTGTGTCGCATTGTCACTTCATGCCTGTTTCATCCTTTCTCTCACTAGGCTTCTGATGAAGATGAGCGCATGTCAGTGGGTAGTCGCGGAAGCCTGAGGGTCAGTAACCTGAATGCTTGCGTCTGCATGGTTCAGTTATGTCCACGTCCTTTGCTTTCCATCCCTGCATTCCCACGTCCTGCTCGTTATCCCTTGTAGTCTGTAGTCAATATCCAACTGACAAGGCACTTATTTAAAATCTCTGCAATGGCCGGTGCTTCCTGGTTGCTGTAGAAGAATTATGCCAGCAGTGAGGGGCATACGCATAGGGGATTGAGTCTTCCTCAAGAGGGAAGGTCACTGTTTTTCTGTGTCTGTCCACATCACAAAACCGCCGCATCCTGGTGAAGTTGGCTGCGCGGCTGATGGGATAAAGGCAAGTGTGAAGAAGCAGGCTGACAGTCGTGTGCTATTTGCACACATGCTCCTAGAGTCTGAATCTCTGGTTCAGTAACTGTCAGTGGAAGTCATTCTCCGTGATGTTTCTGCAGAGCTCCGTGGGAGCTGCCCGGTGGGAAGTGGGGCCGGCTGCACCCCTGGGGCTGCTCTGCTCGCCTCCAGGAAGCATCAACCTGGTGAAATCTCTTTCTCACTGTCACTTAATGGCCGATAAACACAGCAACATATTTTCCTTGAACTTTTCAAAAATATTCATAATTACATTTGAAAAAGTGGCGTGCTTTGGGAAGGGAAACTGTGTTTTTAGGGCATTAAATTAATTTGCAAGTGCCAGTTTAGCTTGCCAAAGGACTAAAGCTGCCCCTCACTGCTGGTGGTCATTAGGGCTCCATGTAGCCACCGTGTGTGACTTAGGGACCACACGGTGGCTACATGGATAGTGGGCTCGTTTGTTTTTTTTATCACATGGCAACCAAATCAGTGTCACACCCAGACTTCTTCTAGGGCACTGAAAATGCCTTCGGTTCAGCTGTTGTAACAGTAAATTGTGAAGGTGCTGCACTGTTTCATTTCTTTGCAGGTGCCAGAGGCAGATTTCAGAGGAGGAGTTAAAATTGCTCTAACTGCTTCAGATTTTAGGAATTATAGCAACATCTGCCATGGAAGTTCTCTTTAACATTATGGGGCTTATGGTAGTTATCATTCTAATGTAATTCCTTTTGCAAATACAGGAGCTCCTAGGAAGCATGATAAAAATATAATTTTGGCCGAAACCGGTTTGGCTCAATGGATAGAGCGTCGGCTTGGGGACTGAAAGGTCCCAGGTTCGATTCTGGTCAAGGGCATGTACCTTGGTTGCGGGCATATTTCCAGTAGGGGTTGTGCAAGAGGCAGCTGATCGATGACTCTCTCATCGATGTTTATAACTATCTCTCTCCCTTCCTCTCTGTACAAAATCAATAAAATATATTTTAAAATATATATATATAATTTTGTTAAGACGTCCAGCATTGCCTGTTTTCTGTTTTTGTTACATCTTATTTGGCTTTTTAACTGGTTCTTGGTACCTCTCTTTTCTGCTGTTTTCCTGGTTTGTCCTTACTCCAGCAGTCGCAGCCTGACCTGGAGTCTGGGGGTCCCTACGGCTGGGTGAGACGTTTGGATGACTTGCTGTGTGATCCTAATGGTTCCGTGTGACATCATAACGGGTGGTGTCCTCACTAACCATCTTTGTTAGGAAAGACACACATGCCACCCACCAGTCTCTACCTGGGTGCCGTGGGCCAGAAGCGGGTGTTTGGTCTTCGACCTGGAGCCTCCTGGGCACCCTCTGACTCTCCTGGTCGAGCTCTGGGCTCAGATTGGTACGCGCACGCTGTTTGAGCACCAGCTATTGGCCACACACAGTGCCAGCAGCTCTGGATCCCAAGGGAAAAGATGGTATCTTGCCTTCAAGGAACTCAAATGAGATCAAGAACTGTAGTTCCTTTAAAATATTAAATTTAATGTCATTTTATCTCATAAAGTCCATTGTTTTCTAATCTGTATCCATTCAGATTAAATTTACAACTGGGCTCCCTTGCTAGAAAGACCCCAGTTCCAGCAACAAAACAAAGACTACCAGTTCAAGTTCACAACTGTTCTCTTGTATCTACCCCGGAGTTTCTGTGCTGCCTGCTTTCTGAAGCCCGTAAGCATGAACTGACGGAAGAAAATCTCATCTCTCCAGAAAGTGCCCTGGGCTTGAATGTGGCTCAGTACTGCGGTCATGAGAGTGGGTTGCACGTCCTTCACTTTGGGCACTTTTCTAGAAGCATTTGTGCTTTATTCATTCTTTTGCATTTCCAAATTATTTAGCAAATACCTGTGCTTAAAAAATAAGTATTTTTACCTCTAAGTTGACAATTAATAATGCCATCCACCCACCTAGCACCCTGGACCTTTACAGCCTCCTGGTGGGGCTGCTGTCTCCACGTAAGGGCAGGATAACCCCAGGGGTGGGTTGCCAAGGAGATGCTCGGTTCACCCCGGCCTCAGCCTCGAGGTCCAGCTCCTGGGACCTGCTGTGGACAGTGGGAGGCGAGAAGCACCTCAGTAGACTGAGAAAGTGCTCTTCCCAGCATCCCCCAGGCCCTTCCACAGGGACACTGGCGTTGAGAGCATTTCTCTGACACTGCCGTTCTCGCCCCTTTCTATTCTTTAGTCATTAAATGTATGGGCGACACATTTCTAGATTTTTAGCCTTTTTCCTTTCATCTGAAAGTGAGTTCCATTCGGGGCGTCCCAGTGGTGCGGAAGCCTGTATGTGTGAGTGATAGTCAGGAACACCTGGCGCTCACTTTCATTTTCAGTTTCATTCCTTTTTACAACCAAATTCCGAGCATCGGCGAGTGCATTTTGCCTTTCTTTTGTTCCCCATTGCTCATGCCCTTGAAGATGAGCTGTCTTTGCCTCATTAGAAAAATAATCTCACATTGTTCATAGTGTGAAGTTCAAAGGTGGAAGTTCGTGGGTGTGTTGCGAGCACTGGGCGGTGGTTGTGTGCTTCCTGGCTAATCACGAGTCACGAGTGAGGGCGATGGATTCTGATGAAGCATTCATTCTTGTGTCTTATTTCTCCTCTTTTAGAAAATGCTAACCTCTGCATGTCCAGTGCTCTCTCTGATAGCAGTGTGTCCCCGTATCTCTGCATGTGAGACTCACCTGGGGAGCTCATTAAAATGCATGTCCCCAGGCCCCTGGGTTCCAACTTCCTAGAACAGGGCCCACGGTCCTCAGAGGCAGGCCAGGTGACTGCAGTGCAGGCGGACGGTATGCCCAGAGTGCGGAAAATAATTCCGTAGAACAGGCTGGTTGGACGTCAGAGGTCTGACTTAACGAAGTTCTGTCTGTGGACTTTTTATTCTGATGTTCTAGTTAATCTTCAGTTCTCTTGACCTACCAAGGCACATAAAGCAGCCCACCCATCAACATACAACACATAAAACCATCTGAGGGAGCACTGCTGGTGTCTTTCAGAAAGCCCAAGTGCCTGTCCCTATAGAGATGTGGTTAAGTGCCCATAGAGTTGGGGATATGTCCTAGGAATATATCCCCCCATGACAGAATTCTCTTCCACCAGAAAAAGGTGAGTGTTCCCCCAAAGCCCTCAAACTAAGAGTTCCCTGTGTAGTTTGAAAAACCAAAAGAAAAATGGTGGTGGATGAGAGAGGACCACCCACCGTCTGCTCTGCTCCATGGTGCTGGCCGTTAGAGAATGAGACCAGAAGAAAGATGTGTCTACAGGCAGCAGTGGAAACGGAGTGTTTACATGTGAAACGTTTTTATTCCTCACTCATGATAGTAAAGTAAAGGTGACCCAGAGTGGATCCATGTTAGCCTCCATTGTTATATTTTTCCCAGAAACTAGTTTTAAAACAGCAGGAGAATGCGCCTGAGGTCTGAAATATTCAAGCCCGTGACACAGGTTTCCGGATCACATACTCTTTGTTAGTTGAGAAAAGAAACTGCCCATCTCTAGACGTTTTTTCTATTAAAACTTGCTTCAGAAAGTTTAATATCTCCCCCAGAGTTTTCAAATTGGTTTCTACATACTGTAATCTAGAAACTTCAAGTTGGTCTGTTGTTGTTGTTGTTTTTTTAGCTGGGTCAGAAGTAAATACATACTTTTATAGTCAAGGTTCGTGAATCTGGTTTTTAATCTGTCCAGAAATTCACTTACTTATTCTGCATTAATGACGTGGCTGCAAAATATGGGCAACCATCTCCCCTGCCGTTTTCATCAGTTGGATCCTCACTGCGGCCGTGGAAAGTATACGTTACTATGCACAGTTCCGCAGCCCAGGAAGAGGGCGGCCCGGGATTAAATAACTTAAGGTCAAGTGACAGAGCTTCTGCGTGGAATTTGGACTCCTGTCCGTGACCCCTGGTATCTCCTGCCTTTCCTGCCTGCTCTATGCCCTGCTCCTCCTTCCTCTGTCACCAGAGCTGGTTATGTCTTTGTCACCTGACAGCTGTTGATCAGCCGACATGTCCTTGTAGAAGAATCAGCGCAGTTTAGAAAGCCCAGCACACTGGGTTAGGGAAACTTGAACTGGGAGCAGAGAAGAGAAGAGGCGGGCAGTACTGAACTTGATCACTGCTCTCATTTTTCTGGAAGACAAATTATGAGATCATGACATATGTCCTCCGATTTTATTTTGGGAGGAAAAAAATAGGAAGACTGGATGAATGAAAAACAAATGTAGAGAATGTATCCTACTATTTTTCCATAACAAATGTTTACATTTCATTATAGATTGAATAGAAGCTGTGTCTGAATTTCTAAATTAAACTTTATGGGCCACAATTATCAGGACTGAACACTGACCGGCTCAGGCCGAACCATGACCCCCTTGTCTGGTAGGCAGGTTCTTGCACGCTGGGATTTCCGCGGCACCGCCATCAAGCTGGAAACGAGAAGAAACTGCCCCGAAAGCTACTTCGTCCATAGGAGGGATTTTGCCTTAAGTCTCAGAGGCCCTGTAGTTACAAGGGACACAGAGAGGACTTTCCCGGGGTGCAGAGGAGCAGGTGGGAGGCGGAGGCATTCGGGGTCACGCTGGGGCGTGGGCTGTCCTGGGCTCTCATTCATCCGCTCCCCTTACACCTGGCTGAGTCTTCCTTGCTGATCTGTATCTGTCTATAACCTGCCTTCATTTGTATGCTGATGTCACTTTCTTCTTTTCTTCATTGAAACAGACAAATGGTTACGATGGAGAGTTATACGGATCGCAGCCCTCGAGCAGAAGATCTGGCAGGGTTAGTACAGTGCATTTGCATGGCACAGAATTCAAACAGGTTGCTGCGAAGCCTTTAAAAAGCATTGCTCCATCTAGTTGCTTTTCTTTCTGTGTTACAGTGGTTCTCTTTTTTTTAACCCCCCTCCCCAGCACATGACAGCATGAGAGCTAATGTTTTTCAACTAGTAAACAGTCTTAGAATGTTAGTATTCTGACATTCTAAGTGGTAGTGTAAGAGATTCATATTGATAAGAATCCCTAGGTTTAAGAGATCTAGAACTAAAGATTAGCTCTTTCATTACTTTATGGCCCTGTATGTGTATAATGTGTATATTATGTATGTTCAGCCTTCAAATATACTGGAATTTGACATTTCCAGCCTTCCACGTTTCTAGTTTGTCATTATAAGGATGGCTGAGCCTGTGTTTTCCTGGATACCAGCGTTGGAATGCTCACGTGCAGGGTCGGAGGCAGAAGGGAGTCATCCTTTGGGGGGGTGGGGGCGTAGAAGAAGGAAGATACCAAGCAGGAGTGCGGGAGAGGAGCCGGGGAGGCCTGGGCATTTATCAGGGAGGGCTCTGTGGATTTCAGAAGGCTAAATTGCCTACATTTTTAATTGTTTCATGACCTGCTGCAGATCTGTTATACATTAAATTATGTAAACTCTTCCTGTACTTCATGTTTGCTTCACTTTCTTTTTTGTTATAATACATTTTACTAGTTGTGTAACATAGTATTTCTTTAAATTTATCTTAATTATATTAAGCTATGTCATAAATATACTTAAATTCTGTGGTCAGGTTTCAAAGGGGTCACCCAACCCCACCTTAGCTTTCTGAGATGGCTGATCTGGTTTCCCCTCCTGCCTGTTAAGGATTGCATACACTTGGCCAACAGGGGAGGGCAGTTGGGAGGTACCAGGTCTGCAAGGGAGAGCAGTTGAGAGAGACCAGGTCTGCAAGGGAGGGCAATTGAGAGGAACCAGTTCTGCAAGGGAGGGCAGTTAGAGGCGATCAACCCTGCAGGGGAGGGCAGTTAGTGGTGACCAGGCCGGCAGAGGAGGGAAGTTGGGGGCAAACAGGCAAGTTTTTCTTTGTACACTTTTCCCCTTTGGAGCTAAGAAAAACATTCTCCTGCTTACAGGCTGCCTTCCTACTTACGTGGCTCTTTGCACAGACCTCCTCTGGACTTCCTCCAGTCCTGTTACATATTTGTTCGCGTTTCTGTCCTCTCTGGGATAGGGCACGTGGCACACCATGGTGTCCTGCAGCCTGTGCCCTGCTGGCCCTCAGGACAAGAGCCCCAAAGGGCTCTGATGGCCCCAGTCGGCCCGTCAGGGCTGTATCGACTAGTCTGCAGCTTTTCACCCTCAGTGCACTGCTTCACCGTAAGCGATCACAGAGTCTGGCATTGAGAGCTGGACATTGCTGTGGAAGCTCTTCAGTCTAACTTCTACCCAACATCACCTTCTTCTCTAGAACATCCCACACGTGTAGTTGCCACTTTTTGTGACAGGACAAGGGACACCAGGCTCTGTTCTACAAGTGCAGCCAAATATGTTAACCTCTGGTTTTTATGTTATTGGAATAAAAGTATGCTTTATGAGTTATGAAGACTTAAGTAATGCCTTTAGAAATATAAGAGAACTTGACTGTAAAACTGTGTGCGCCACAGAGTAAAACTGGATATAAAACTGATTTAATAAATAATCAAGAAGTATAATGATTGAAGAACCAAATAGCCTACATCTAATGCAGCAAGCAGCATGGCTAGGCATATCCGGGCAGAACCCGACAGCCAGAGGATGAGCTTGGAGAAAGGCTGGGAGGGGTTGGGAAGCTTTCTAGACGAGGGGAAAACCAGTGTGGGAAGGAGTAAGAAGACAAGGCTGAAGGTAGGCCTTTGGAAACACTGTTTCCTCTACAGAGAACTCAGTCTCCATAGGGGGACCTCTTCACTGTTTTGATTCCCCATCTCATGCCTGCATTTGTAGCATTTATAATCCTCCCCACCTAAATTCTGGGTTGGTTTCGGGAGTTTTTAGAGTATATATCAGGTAAAACCACAATGATGGCTGTAGGCCAGTTGCTTTCTCTGGGTAGTGGTTCTCAGATGGCTGAGCAGGTGGCTCTCTCAGGCTGAGCAGGAGCCCTCAGGAATGCTGGCCTGAAGGAAGATGGCAGAATTTGCATCAGTGGAGTTTTAGGTAGCTAAGAAGGTATGTAATCCCGTAAGTCCATCCATCATAAGATTTAGTAAGGAATTGTCAATAAGACTAGAGGTAGGAAATTGTGGAAAACAGTAATAGCGAAACTACAGGCATCACGGAGGCATCACACTGGAACATGAACGGCAGCTCAGAACCTCTCGTTGCTAAGGATTTCGGCTGCAACGGTGGTTCTCCATCCTCCCTTGGAGGGAGGGCCAATGTGGTGAGGTTGTGCACTCTGTGTTTGCCTTTGACCGGGACAGGCGGGGCTTTGGGGATGACAGGAAGGAATGGTGGGTCACTTACAGTGTCTTCTTTGGTGCCCAGAACTCCACCTACAGCGGTGATGGCAGATCCTCTACCGTGTCCTCATCCAGAGAGGAGAAGTTGGTTGGTTTCCATTTATATCTTTCACATCCTCTCTCCAGAAACTACAGGTTCTGTAGCATGCAACCTCGTGTGTGTGTGTGTGTGTGTGTGTGTGTGAACTCAGCTCTTTTCTCTCTTAACATCTACTTTACAGATTTTCATTTGGATGGATTGTAAAGGCAGTTGTTGAGCAGTAATTAGTATGATAAGTGTAATTCAGATGAATTGCACCGGTCAGCTGGGTACAATGAAAGGAAGTATTTATGTGGCTGTTTGGTAGTTAGAATTCATCAGAAGGAAACAAAAAAATAAGAAAAGCTTGAACCTCTCTCCTTGAAAGTCCCCGGAAACAGAATTCGTGTTAGAGTGCATGCAAACTTGGTGGCATGGAAATCAAATCCAAATCCACAGTCTGCACAGCCGAGTGCCTTCCCACGGATGTGCATCTGTTCCGACAGGCAAATAGTTCTCAATGATTGAAGGGCCCTGGGAGGTAAGGCTTGCTTGTCCGAAGTGAGGTTCATGTTCACAGCAAACATGGAGCTCGTGTAGGAAGGAGGATCACAAACGTTAGCGTTTATTTCTGGAACAGAAGACAGACCCACCTGCCCCGACACGCCGGTGCAGTCAGGAAGTGTCATCACTAAGATGTGTGCTCACCCTTAAGGTGTAAACCGAGGGGGGAAGATGGAATAAGGGGGAAGTAACCAGGCAGAGCCACAGGAGTCTGTCTCCTTGCCTCTGTCTTGCCTGGTCCCCTCCTACTTCCTGCTTTTGTCTGGGGGAGGGGGGGGGGGGGATGTGCAGACATTGCTGGCAGCCCCATCAGCTTGCTCACCCACTTTCCAAACGCCCACCGCTGCCTCCCGGCCCCTGTAGTAATCACCACTCCAGCCTCACTCCGGGCTTCTGTACCCTTCTTCCCCCAAGAGTGTTGAGTGAGCTGTAAGCAGCAAAATATGGGTGGGTTTTAACACCTTTTGTGAGTGTTAAACTACTGATGGGCTTTGACACTTTAAGAGTTTTGTGGGTATTCTGTGCATTTTCTTAACTCCGAAAATTTTTGCTATTACGAAGAGCACTCTGTTCTTCAGAAAACTTCCTGCTCACTTCCCAAGCGGAGATGCTTGCTCTCAGATAGAAGGTGGTGGTAGAGACCCCATGCCCACTGATGAATTGTTCACCACAGTGAAATAATCAGAACTCCAATGACACGTATCTGACTCACATTCATGTAAGAAAAGTCACTGCATCCCCGCCCCAGGTCAAAGTCACAATGAGAGCTGACCACTTGGAAGCATCAGGTCGTTGGCACTTCCCTCCGGCATGTGTTCCAGCATCACGCTGCCCGGCACCTGTCACTCACCCGCCCTCGCAATCTCCCCGCCTGTTGCCGGGCTTTTTGGAATTTACTTACATCTAATAGCAGAAGGTGTCCGTGCAGGATGCAGCCCTGGAGAGTTCTCTAAGGAGCATCTCCCGCCTTATGCCGGAGCAAACCCTGCACCGTGGGTGTCCGGAGGGGGCTGCGGCTGCTTTCTCCCACACGGCGACGTGGGCCCTGTGCTTTCAGCCCCTGGAACAAGTCTCAACGTTTGTGATTAATATCAGCCAGTTTCTCCCTGTCCAGCCCAGAATTCCACTTGCCTGCTCAGGTCATTTTGGTGCCACTTACTCAAGGCATAGGCAGGACAGGCAGGAGTTAGGGCCTTGAAGGGGTGGCGGGCATCTTAAGCCCCCTTCCTCTCCCCTCCCCCCAGCTACCTGAACAGAGCCACTGCACCTTCAAGGGCAGCCCTGTTCTTGTCTGGTTGGAGCACAAAAACGGAGCTAAGAGCTGCCTCTCCCAGGTCTTTTCATTTGGGTAAACATTTTATTTGGGGAAGTTATTAACTTACAGAGTAGTGTCTCCCAGCAATATCCTCTAGACCAGTGGTTCTCAACCCTCCTAATGCCGTGGCCCTTCAATACAGTTCCTCATGTTGTGGTGACCCCCCAACCATACAATTAATTTCGTTGCTACTTCATAACTGTAATTTTGCTACTGTTGTGAATCGTAACGTATAATATATATCCGTGTTTTCCGATGGTCTTAGGCCACCTTGCTAGCGGTTCTCAACCTTTTAAATTAAGAACTGCTGTTGTTGTGGACGTTTGCTTTGTGTGAATATCCAGGAGGCCACACCAAAGGCCGTTTCCAATGAAATGTTCTGCTACAGAAAAGAAAGGTTGATGGCTCCGCAAATTCTTGGTTTTGAGCTTTTCCCACCAAACTTTAAAAATCAAGACTCCAGTGACAAAGACGTTCAACGCCCCTGTGGTCCTGCTGCCGATGAAAAGGAATGAAATCTGGTTTTGCCTGTGTGCAGACTCAGAAGTCCCCATGTTGCCCCCCACCTTGGTCTGTCAGCTAACGGGGCCGTCTTTATTTCCTTCTGATCGTCCTTCTGTCTCCCGCCCCGGCAGGGCATGCTGTTACTGATTTTGTTGTGAGAGGTGGTTTTGTGTGAATGTGCCTTTGTGATGAAATGAAGCCGCAGCCTCGCCCCCTCCCCTGTGTTCTCTGGTTGCAGGGGCCGTCCTGCCCTGACCTTGGCCTGGCCCGCAGCGGCCTCGCACCCCAAGTCCTGTTCGCCCAGAGTGGAAGCCGGGTCTGTCTCCCTTTCTCACGCCCCTGCTCCCTCCCCCTCCTTCCCTGGGTGTCATTCACGGTGGAGTAAACGTGTGGACACTTCACCCTCTTCCGTGTGAACCCCGAGGAGCCGAGCCCAGCAGTGGTTTTCATTGCTTTGCTGACTTGCTAAGACTTTTCTCAGCTGTTAAAAGCATTATCTCATGTAACTCCAGACCTTATATAGAAAAAGGGGATTTAGGAAGAAGGAAGATCTAGCAAATGGGTCTTTTCAAAAGCTCAGGGCCCCCAAATTGGTCTCTTGGGTCCCTCCTCCTCTTCCAGCAATTGTTCCCCATTTGGGTTTTCATTTGTTTTTTTAAAAAATATTTTTCTCTGGTTGCTGTGTCCAGGAAGCAATTTGGAAGGCTTTGGGGCATGATCGGCCTCCTCCGTCTCTGAGGAAGGGGGACAGCCCTGTTCCTTTGGCTCATGCTCCCCGCGCTTCCTGTTTGCACGGGGCCGCCTGCGGGTCGGCCGGTGCTGGGCCTGTGAGCTGCAGGGAGGCGCTGTGGCTCTCACACCAGGAGGCCCTGTCAGAGCTCCAAGTAGGGACCCAGTCACGGAGGCTGAATTGTCCTCTCCCCCGCGTCGCTGAGTGACTCACCCCTGGTCATGCACATTCCAGGGCTGGCCCGGTGGCCCTGTGCTGCGGCTTTCCGTGGCCTGTGCCTGGAAATGAGTCACGATGCTATTCTGGGGCTCAATCTGCGGCCACACCAGCCTTCACGTCCAAGCACACCCTGCAGGGCTCTGGCTGGCCAACAGCCGCAGGCCGGCAGCTCCTTGTGTGTCGTGAAGGCTGCTCCCGGCACCCTTCGCTAGAAATAAATGCACTGCTGCTCCCTCTCCCTGCGTGGACGTGTGCGGATTAACACTCCTCCGTGCTTTCTTAACCTGGGGTTTGACTGCGGGTTTGGTTGCTCTTGTGGCTGTTGTTTACCTTGTCACCATTCTGCCTCATCCCCTCACGCCTTCTTCCAGGAACACTTGGAAAGAAATGACTAGAAAATAGTCATATTTCAAAGATTCTGGGGAAGCATAGTGTTTTTAAAGTTAACAATCATCTTGCATTTCTCTTGCCTGTGAACTTGCGTTTGTATCTATCAGATATACTGAAAACATTGACTCTTTCTTCTAACTGTTTGGCTGCCGTGCTAACCAAAAGTGTCTGATTACCTGGTGTGGGATTTGTTACCCTTTTTTGTCAAGACTTTTAAAACATGTCATTTACTTCCATCCTCCAGCCCTCCAGTCTGCACAGCGCTGTCCGGCCAGCGGGGAGTTACCGGGTGCGTGTGCTCGCCCCCGCCCCCCCTTTCCAGCCCCTCTGCCTGCCCCGTCGTGGCCCCACTGCGTGTGCACGCCCCACCCCGCACACCTGCCTCTGTCAGCAGCCCCGCTGGAAGTGACCTGCCAGTGACATGGAGCTCACGCCTACATGGTGTCTGTCACCTTTGGCCAGATCTGGGTTTATTCTCCCCGCAGCTGACAGTAACTGTCACCCGCTTCAGTCCCCAGGGAGGCAGTGTTTGTCTAGCCTTGTTGGGCAGGAATGGAGCAAGGCAACGATTACTTAGCTCATTGGCAGAAAGAACGGTGGCTTTTTATTGCTTTGGTGTAGCAGTAACAGGTATTAATCATTTGTGTGCTGTGTTACTTTGGAAATGTCCAGTATTAAATACAAGATACTTATGTGAGTGGGAAACTTAAATATTCAAAGTGGCTGTGCTAAGTGGGTTAATAACTTCCTGCATCTCCTTCAGATTGCGAGAATTAGACTTGTGAATTAGACACATCACCGGCTGAACAAACCAGCTGTGTCAGGGGAAAGGGAGGTGGGAGGCCCTGTGAGATGGGCCAAGGCTGACATGGCTGTTTACAGTATTGTCAACCCTGTCACCTCGGTGTTTTGTTACATGAGGTTTTCATGTTAATCAGATACCCTGTTTTCTAGTTCACACATTTTAAATAATTATCACAATCAAACTGCAATTAATGTCCTATTTTAGTCCAAAGCACTTCATATTAGAGTCATTTTCTTTTTTAATGTATTTTATTTATTTTTTTTTACATAGAGGAAGGGAGAGGGATAGAGAGTTAGAAACATCGATTAGCTGCCTCCTGCACACACCCTGCTGGGGATGTGCCTGCAACCAAGGTACATGCCCTTGTCTGGAATTGAACCTGGGACCCTTGAGTTCACAGACTGACGCTCTCTCCATTGAGCCAAACTGGTCAGGGCTTAGAGTCATTTTCTAAGTGCCAAGTACAAGGATGCCGTGACAGAAGTCAGGCTATTTGAATGATTTGCTCAGCTAAATCTGGGCTAACAGGTGTTCACTCAGCGAGGGTCTTTTTCAGAGTCATAGATGGAAAGGACCTACTGGTGTCAGCAACAGCTAATCTCTCTCCCTTGGACTTTGCACATCCCGGCCCTGCTCCCCAGCACTTACCAGGGGACGGTGTCCATGAGCCCTCCCTGCATGCCTTCCCTCTCGGTGTCCTTCAGGACGCGCTCCGGCATGTGCCGGTCTGCCTTGGCTTGTGTTGCGGAGTTTCCTGGGTGCGGGCGAGAGGAGGGCGGCCCTGTCCTGACGGTCTGGATCTGTTTTGGCCATAGGGGTCTGTGTTCGGTGACAGCAGTCTCGGTGGGGCCCAGCGGGGAAGCGCCTCTGGTTCCTGTGCTGTAAGGCGCTGCCTGTGCTCCCAGAGCTTCCTCCCGTCTGCTGCATGACCTGGGTGGCTCGCCCGGCACCGCTCCAGCCCCCGGGATCGCTGGCCTAGGTCACAGGGAGGAAGGACTGTCTGGTTTCACTTTCCCTCGCACAAAGGGGCATGGATAATGGGAAGCACGAAGCCTGTGGGTGTTAGCTCAGTGTCCTCACTCATTGCAGTCACAGGGAGGGGATTCCTCAGCTCTTCCCGCCGTGGGCAGACAGTGCGTCAGCATGAAGGAGTTGGTCTGAGGAGGAGGAAAGGGAGAATCAGACAGTCCCCCGTTATTTCCACCTCTGGGCCGTCGAGGACAATGAACACATTCAAAGACTCAGTACATTACATGTGTGCCATTTCCTCATTTTATTTTGCCTTCCCACCTTTTCAAAGCATTGGAAATAGTATTTCAATAAAGGTGTGGTAGTTGCACATGAAATACTTGTTGAATGAAAAAACTGGGCAAGTGAACGAGGGGGTGATGGAGGACAGCAAATAGAGAAACGGATGGTCAGTCATGGAAGCGAAGGAGCTAGCGAGCCTCTCCCAGGACCAGTGGAAACAGAGCATCAGCCCTCCCAGCCCTCCCCATGGCCAGCAATTCTGCACCCCGGGCACCCCCACAAAGTCCCATAAAAAAGCGCCACGCCCACGTGCAATAAAATGGCTTCCGAAGAAATACCCACAAGTCCCATAAAAATGCACCACGCCCACGTGCAACAGAATGGTTTCCTAAGAAATACTTGAAAGCGTTTTTCTAATTTTGCTTTCCTAAATGATTGGCTACTTTATAAATTAGTCAAATAATCCAATTTTATGATTTTTTTAAATATTTCTCCAATCATCGTGAATATTCAGAGATTCTTACAAAGTAACCAGTATAACCTACAGTTTTCTTTAGAATGTGATTTTATGAATATTACATCTAATGATGAAATAACATAGCATTAGTTTCGTTGACATCTAATTAAACATTTAACAATTTTATATTGCATAACATTGTTCATGCTTTCCACAATTCTTAGATAGTTGTGTAGGCCGTTACAAAGTTCATAAAGCTAATGAGTGAAGTAGCTTTAGGTCATATGTGATGGATAAGTGCCGTTAAGTGATTTTCTTTTATCAGAAAAGAGACAGCATAATCATTCTTTAAGAGAATGAGACTTCCCCAAGAGCTAAGTTTCCTGTGGTCCACGTAGAACTTCTGGTGTCTTAATGGGAACGTGTCATAGATTCTCTTTAAACGCCGCCTCTGTAGCTGGACTTTGCTGGAGTAGCTGATCTTGGCCTTCAGAGGCGGTAGCTCCTGTAGGTCCAGCCTCGGGTGGGACTCGCCCCGGGGGAGGGAGTTTCCTGGAGTGAAGGAAATGAAAGGCCTTCTCGGCCAGGCAGCACGGGTCCCTAAAACAGGGCCGCATGTCCCTGAAATCACGCCATGCCGCCAATTAGAGAGAATCAGAACAAATTCTTTCCCCGCTGAATCGTGCATCCCACGCAGGAGGAGCTCAGCACGCATTGGTTTCTCCAGTTGAATAAGTTGAACCCTGGGGTCAAACTTCTCGGAAGAGATCTCGGGGCGGCAGCTCTCTGCTCAGCAGCAGAGCAGCTGGCTGAGTGGGAGGAAGGTTCAGGAGCTCCCCCCTCCCACGCTGTCTCTCAGCCTCACGGCCCCTCTCCACGTGGACAGGGGCCCCCCTTTCAGGATGGCAGGACTCCCCCAGGCTCTCTGCCCAGAGAGGAGCTGTGGCCACTGGTAAATACACGCATCTTGTGAGCAAGCTCGGGGTCCATCTTCTCCAGAGCCCGGAGAGCGACCCCAGATCCCAGGCTGCCCCAGCCTACCCGGGCCAGCCTTGCTCTAAGGTAGGGGTGTCGAACTCAATCAGAGAAGGGGCCAAAATCTAAAATCCAGCCTAAATCGTGGGCCGAATGGTTTACTGAACAGTCATAAACTGTCATTGTGATGGAAATGCAGCGGAGTGCAGTGATGACAGCGCGGTGCGGGCCACATTGCAAGGCCTGGCGGGACGGATTTGGCCCGCGGGCCTTGTGTTTGACACATGTGCTCTAAGGGGACCTCTCTCGTCTCCGTTCTCCCACGATGTCAGCCTCCACCACAAGAAGTGTTTACAGCTCAGTGACTTCATTATCATGAGATTGAAAGACTGGAAAGCAGAGCTGTTTTGCTTGAAACCCTTGCTGCTGTACGGCCTCCTTGCCATTGGTATGCTGTGTGCGTGGCGCAGGAAGGACACGAGGCTGTGTGTGAAGTGGCTCTCGGCTGTTTGACACGCCGGGCAGTGATCAGGAACCGTGGGCGTTGTTTCTAGCAGAAGGGGGAGAGGCAGGCGGGGAAACGCCCACCGCGCATCCTCCCTTAGCCCTCGGTGCCTTGTATGGTCGGGGTCCTTCCCGTCACAGATGACGGGCTGAGTCACTTTTCCAAAGTCTCATGACCAGATGAGACTTGACTGAAGATGGAGCCTTGACTGATGGAACTCAGATCTTTCCAGCTTCCCCCAGCCCCACGTGCGTCACACTGACTCCCCAACACAAGCAGCTCCGGGGCAGCACGCGGACCATCACCCCACGGACTTGAAACGTCTTTGCAGGATCAGGGCAGGGAAAGGAGGGGAATCAGTTTCTGCCTAGGAGTTAGGGAAACTTGAGTCGGCAATAAGCTCAGGACACTGCCTTATCCCTGCACCCTGAACCAGGATGCGGAGACAGGAACTGGCAGGACTAGTCTGCCGGAGGAAGTCTCCTCTCTCACACCCACAAACCCAAAGGCGACATCTTCTGCCTGAAGGTGCGGGTTAGGTGTTTTCCTTTATTTTGCGCAGTAAAGCTACAAGAGGAGGCTAGAGGGGCTGCTGCACATCTCTCGTATGTCCCGTGTGGCCACGGTTCTTACATGCCATCGTCCGTGCACCTGAGACAATGTCTTGCCTCTGAGCGTGAGTGTGAGTGTGAGTCAATAAAGGAATGATGCAGAGAGGATTGGTCTGGGAAACCAGCTCCTCTTGACCACGGCTGTTTATAGTCACAAGTTGAAATTTTTCATTCAACAAGTGTTTTTTGAGTGCACACTGCATGCCAGGCCTCACCTGGTCACTGGGACTCAGAATGAGACCAGTGCAGTCCTCAACCTCAGGAATCACATCTGTGGGAAAGCAGGCCCATGAAGAGCTGGTGTTTAAGATGACAACCGCGAGCACCCCAACGCTCTAGCCCCTGTACTGTGCGTGGGGTGACGCCTGCGGGTGTCCCAGTGGGTGCCCTGTGTCTGCTGGACACCCGTGATTCCACCCTGCCGAGCTGGAGAGGAAAGTAAGGATTAAAAAGCAGCAGCACAAGGAAACGTGAAGCGAATCTATTGTAGGATGAGGACCAACGTGACCACAAATCGAAGTTAGGAGGGTGTGGCTCCCAGATAAGTTGCTGGCGTTTTCCTTTCCCGGGAGAGTTTAGGTAGGGGGCAGACAGCTCGATGCCTGTCTTTGTCTGAACCTTAGCTCTCACTTTGCTTCCACTTGGGAAGAGGGCAGAGAAGCCAACAGTCCCCTTGCCCAGCGCCAGGCCCGGGTCTGCTCTCCGGCTCCGTGCGGGGCCGGGAGGCGGCTCGCGTTCTGACGTCCATTCCACGGCAGCGAGGCGGCCCTCCGTGCACCCACCGGGCGCGCCCCCACGCCAAGGCCAGCAGGGGCTGTGTGTCACTTCCTCCTTCCTAACCAAGCGTGTGTGTTCTTCTGATGTGATGACTAATGTTTTTCATTCTTTCTGGGAAGCCTGTTCCATGCTCACCTCTCTCCTCTGCATTGCACGGGGCTGCCTCTCAGCTAACAGAGCCCCGGCCGGGCCTCTGTCCTCCATGCTTCTCTGCTAACCTGTCCCTTTCTCTCCGCCTGCCTGCGGCCACCGGGCTGGCGCACAGCCCTCGGAGCACAGCGGCCACCTCAACTCCAGCTCCCGCGCCTCCTCCAGAGCCAGCTCGGCGCGGGCCAGCCCAGTGGTGAGTGTGCCTGTCTGTCTGCTGCCTCTCTCCCCTCCTCACTGTCTGCCCTCTGTCCGCCTCAGCAAGCCTGGACACAGGAGAAAGTAGCGAGGCTGCTCCTTAATCTGATGTCTAAGTACAAACACAAGTGTGGGGAGGGGGGGCGCTACCCAGTTGGAGTATTACTATTCCCTAATCCCGGAATTGCATTGCGGGGTTTCTGAAGGACCAGGTAAGGACTGTTTAGACAGCGGGGCTGGGAGATGGATCTTACTGGGAAGAGGGAGCTTTGAACAGTGGGAGGAACGTAGTCATGTGCATCAACGTGTTGTTTTTTATGATTTAAAAACGGGAAGGATTGGCTTAACGTTCTGTTTGACATGTTATTTGTTGTTCGACCCTGGCGGTTTTAAACACGCAGCGTGGGCCTGGCAGTCCGCAACATCCCTAGCTGTGCTCGGTCCCCACCGCCTCGCCATCCCCCGGGGTCTCACCCTCCTCAGTGTGTGCGAAGCCACAGAAGGCACTCCTGCTGCTCTCTCGGCACAAAATGACCCGTTTTGCTTTGGGAAGTAAGGGGCCCTGCTATCTAGTCCCCATCCTTCCAGTGTCATTACGTGTTTCCCAGGGTCTTTGGAATATTGGGCTCTTTCACCTCATCGGATGCTTTGTGTGTGGTGCCGCACACACTCTAAACAATAAGGGATTTACAGGGTGTTTTGGCCCTGGGGACTCCTGGGGGGTGGGGGAGGCTGGCAGTGACCAGAGGAGGGGTGCTGAGTGAGCAGGAGCAGGGCCACAGTGAACCCTGGGCACAGGACAGAAAGCCGGGGAGTGTGGGCCCGTTTTCTCCACTCCTCCATCACGGAGTCGCTCGAAGGTTCTGAGCTCAGGCCGTGCTCCTGCCTGAGGTGTAGCCGTGCTCCTGGCAGTCGGAGAAGCCTGGAGCTGAGCTCTCCGTGGCCCACGAACTGGTGGCTTGTATGTTCTTTAAATGAGATTCAGTCTTTCAACGTCACGAGGGTCCCTACCAAATGCAGATGCCAGCTGCTTCTGGGGAAGCAAAGGGACCCTGGAGCCTGGGCTCATATTGCTGAATGGGGTGGGTGGGCGGCCTCGGTGCTCCTCCCTGGGTCCTGCCTCCGTGCCAGTCATCTCTGGGCTAGCACTGGTGTGTTCCCGGTAGTAGAGAAATGTCCCTCTCCACCATTTACCCGGCGGGGTGAGGAAACAGCAGATGGGTAAGGCGGTGGGTGTTAGAATGGAAGATGTCCCCAGCGTGGGCTGCAGACACCACCTCTGTGCACTGTCTCCCACCCTCACCGCCACTGGAGCCTCCGACCCCACCCCACCCCATTCCATCCCATCCTGGAGACCAGCCCTGGGGGGACTCGTCCTGAATGCACCCCCTGGGCAGTAAGGACACCCCTCAAAGCCAGGATCCATCGGGCAGGAAGAGCGAGATATTCAGCTGATCAAGATCATGTAACTTTCGTTTTTAAAATCTGGCAAATCTGCTTCTTATGAATGAATGTTGCAAAAATTACCAAAGGGCACTATTTTCGAACTCGGATTCCTGCTGACGGAGGCCGGCACACCTGCGGGCCTCCAGGGCGAGCCTCCACCCAGCTCGGCTGTTCCCTAGGTTTTCACACATCATCTCATCTATGTGGAACCTTCCAGCTCCTCGGAAGAAACACTCTCCATGGAGGTCAATGGTAAGCCAATCCTCCTTTGGAAAGAAGTATGCACCATTGACCAGCGAAGTCTGTGGCTCCACTTGCAAAGGGCCCTGGTCCCTGGCACACGGAATTGTGAAACCTGTGGTTATCTAACCTTCGGGTTTATTCAGGCATTGTGATGACGCCACAGAACAACAGGCTCCACCTAGTCAGACTACAGAGACTGAAATCAGATACAGGTTTCTTTGTCAGAAGCCTCTAAATTGTGACAGATTTACCCCCATAACACGGGTTTAGCCGATGACCCAGAAGCAGAGGGGAGTGTGAAATGTGCCCAGTGTTCCTGGGGTCTGGTGGGAGCCTGTGAGGTCCCCAACCGATGGAGCTGTGGCTGGGGTTGCAGCTTCTTCCGCAGCTGCCATCAGGGAGCGAAGCACAGTGGGTGGAGGGCCCTCGCAGTTCTAACTCTCTTTTTAACTGAGGGTCTAGCTGAGGAGATTGCAGACTGCTCTGGCCCCTTCCGCCGGTTCCAAAACTCACGGCTAGGCCAGTTGTTTCTTGGGAGGGACTGTGCAGTGACATTGTTTCTGTGACCCCGTTGCCCGTTCAGGGTCCGGGGTGCTGGCTGGGGGTTGGGTGATGGGGACACCATGAGGAAAAGTCCTTTGTGCCCGGCCCCTGTGCCTGTGCTGGGGTCTCTCTGTGCCCACAAACTGTACTGTGTCTAGGGAGGTAGGCAGGCCAGATGGTGTATGCAGACCCTGAAATTTTACACCTCACCAGACGCTGTGGTTAAGTGAGTCTCCATGGTAAACTCACTTATAGGATGTTAGAAGGCTGGAGTTAAATATTTAATGTACCACTTTAAGCATTTGTTTTTCAAAGGAAGAGTTGCCGTAATTTAAAATCTCACAGAAGTATATTTAGTGACTCTTCCCAGTAGATTTTTAACAGCTGTTATTGTGTGCACCCAACTGTGGCTGAAATCCTGCTGCACGTAGTTCCTAACGGGTTACCCTGAGGTGGTCTCACTGACCTAACATGTTTAGTATTGCTCAGGCAATGAAAGCCATGAATGCAATAGGCTGCAAGATATGTGGCCGCTGTCGCCCTTCCACGAATGAGGATGCTGGTGTCCGCAGACGTCCCATGCTGGTGTGGCCTAGCATGTCCCTCATCTCACTGTGCTCATGTCCACACCATGATGTAGGGTTCCATTCATCCCCCTGGGCAGCAGCCACCACACTGTTCATCTGTCTTGTCTCTTTGTATATTATTTCCAGAGATAAAATGCTGTGTTTTGTGTCGAAATTAAACACTCCATATGGGTTACGTTGTGTGGGGAAGGGAGGGAGGGAGTCCTTTACTAAAGCGGGTGCAGCTGCCTGACAGCTTGGCACACTGCCATCTAGTGGGAGCCCCAGGCACTGCAACAGCCTCATGCTGCTCTGTCCATTCCCAAGTGGCTCCAGGTACTTGTGTCTCAGGAAGGCGGGCAAATACCACCTGTCCCTTGTCACTGGGAAAGCAGACAGAACACATTTAGTCTACCATGTAGAATAGAGAGGGGCAGCAACAGTGAAGCATAGCTTGGCTATACCTTTCCTTGAGAGCATCGTTTTTCTACATACATGGTCTCTATTAAAAATATATCAGTGTTCACATTCTGACACCATTTGGTATTTCAGAGCAGAGGCTCTTTTAAAACTAGTTTATACCTGTTTTAGAATTAAAGAGAAAACGATTATTTTAGGGGGGGGGGTTTCTTCCTCGTTAGATCTTTTGCGAATTACAATTTGCTTTTTGGGTACAGGTGAAATGACGCAGGGCAGAGCTGGCCTTAAAGTCCCCATGTGACCAATACTTCTGCTCTGTGTGTATTCCTTTTTATCCTTCTCACAAGAAATACTAATATATGTATTCATACACACACACACACACACACACACACACACACGGAGTCCTTTTATGGGGACAGATACCTTTGTAGGTGAAGGTAGGATTTCTGGGGCTTCACGTAGCTACACCATCTTTATCTATTGCTAATGACCAGTCAGAAACGCTACCATTTAAACCTCGAAGCTACGAAGCAGCGGGCTTCTCCAGATAGCTTCACGGTCTATTAATTGGGGCCTCCTCCTTCCACTGAGAGCTAAGTCACTCTCTTTATTTTCATCTCATTACTATTTGTTCTGCCAATTAGCTTATTTTGGGGGATTGAAGGCCTTGGGCCAAGCTGGTTTAATGAATTGATTTCCAGCAGACCAGGTGCTTGACAGTTAAATTCTCCTTGGTTACTTGAAATGTTTTTCTTTATTGTTGAAAGTATTACTGATGTCCCCTTTGTTTGTTTTTCCCATTGACCCCCTCCACCCTGCCCCCGCGCCTCCCAGGCCTTCTCCACTCTATTGTCTGTGTCCATGTATGCATATAAGTTCCCTGATCAATCCCTGCCCACCCAGTCCCCACCTTTCCTCTGAAATTCGTGAATCTTTTGAAATTCGTGAAAGTCATCACGGCTCAGAGCATGGGTGCAGGGTGGTGAGGTAGAACCCTCTCGATGGAGGCCACCTCGATTCCCAGGGCTCCGTATGGGATGCCAAATTGAGAAGTGAAAAGGGCACCTGCGGTCAAGAGTTCTGGAAAGCTCCCACGAGACACCGCTTTGCCCTGGTCTCTGGAGGACAGCCGGCTGTGGGCACAGGAAGGAGAGTGCTCTGGCAGCCTGCTGAGGGCACAGGAAGGGAGTGCCAGGATCTGAAGCCCCACCCAAGGGCATGAGGCCGGCCTGCCCTCAGTCCAGCCCCCTGGCTCGAGGGATGTGGTCCCTGCTCTTGTTTTCCCTCCTGCTCTTTGGACACTGAGGAGACTCAGAGGAGAGCAGAGCTCCTCCTGGAGGCCCAGGGGTGGGCGGGCAGGTGAGAACAGGTGCTCTGGGAGCCAGGCCCCAGGTTGAACTTGGCCATTCTGAGCTGAGAACTGGTTTGGAATTGCCTCCTTTTGGAAAGACCGGGTATGTTGTCAGGTTTCATTCACCCCCCTGGTTGGTCATTACCGGTCATTACCGGTCTGTTCAGGCATTCTCCTCTCAGAGAGCAAGTTGAGGTGCAAGTTTGGAGGAGAGAAGGTGGGGGACAGGCTCGTGAGGACCTGCAGCCCAGCCTGGGCCCAGGGTGCACACAAAACAGGAAGTGGTCATCTTCGCAGGGCATCACTGCCTTGACATCCTGACCAGGCAGCACCTGAATGCTGCCCCACGGACAGCGTCACTGTCACAGTTCGCGTGTTCACGAGCCACTCCACATGGCCTGGGCCCCAGCTCCGTGGGGAGGTCTCAGCCTGCAGTCTGGACGGCTGTGGGGCACGCGTGCAGAAGTCCGAAAGTCCCCGGTCACCGGCTGGCTCAGGTGTGCTCTGCACTCATCAGCTCGCCGCAGTGGATCCCAGGCCTCGAATGGAAGCAGCTCTGAGCTACGGGAGGCAGACTGGAGACTTGAGGGGGAAGGCATGATGAGTGGCGGCTTTCCCCAGGGAGTTTGGAGACACAGGGTTTGCTGAGCACAGGGTTTCCTCATCCTGTGGCCTTCGAGTGGGCTCTGGAGAGGAGCCCTCCGTGTGCCAAAAAGGGAAGAAAGAAAAGAAACGTTTCTTGTGTTGAGCAGAGAAAGAAGTAGTGCCATTGTCAGCGTGGCCCCATCCCTGAGACCTCTTGAGGCGAAGGGTGGCCGGTTGCTGTTCATGCAGCCGCGTGGCTGCTCGTCCCGTCCCATCCCATCCCATCTGCCTGCCGAAGGGAGAAGATGGGCCTCAGAACCACATGCAAAGAGCAAAGCTGAGAAAAGGCAAAAGCTTGGGGCCCCACTTTTCACCTGGCAAAGTCTCCTATACCTTTAGTACCCCCCCAAAAAAAAAAATAATAAAATAAAGCCCCAACCAACGTCCCAGGTCAGGTACTCAACCCCAGATGTTTGAACCAGAATGTTTGAACATTCACTGCGGTTACTCACGGGAAGTAGAAAAGGTTACGTAGAAAAGGTTACAGTCGGCTTGCTGCTGTCCCTGGCTTCAGAGGCCACGTTCCGTGAGAATGGAAACGAATATTCCGTGGCTGCGCCTCCCAGCCCAGGACCCCTGTGTTCTCGCTGTCCAATCGCAGTGGCTGCAGACGGTAGACAGGGGTGGGCATGCGGTCCCCTCCTGCGAGGACACGGAGCTCCACACGAGCTGCAGGAGTCGGAAAGTCAACCGGTTCAGCCGAGTGCGTGAGCCAGCTCCTCCCCGGGGGCCTGTCGGCGATCGCTGTGAGGTTTCGGCGTCATCACGTTCCTGTGGACCCCGTGAAAGCGGAGGAGCCTGGCTCTGAGCTGCTGTGGGCACAGGTGTCCGTGTCGCCTGGCAGAGGCTATCCTATCGGAGGGTCTCATGGGCAGAGTGGTTTTTAAACTACAAAGGAAACTATTGTGTTATCGTAGCATCAGCTGACCCTGCATCTCGATGATCCATTTCATGCTTATGTTTAACATTTGTGCGTTTTCCTCTCTAGGTTGAAGAGAGACCAGAAAAAGATTTCACCGAGAAGGTGAGGAGTTTCTACAAGCCCTTATCTTATGTCATTAATGAACCTAGTGGGTCCCAGGATTTATGGGTAAAACTAACAAGAAAATAATGTGAGTGAACAGGACAGTGTGTGGGCCACCAGACAGTGTCCCAACCTTTTTTTTTTTTTTTTTTTTTTTTTCGGGGTGGGGGGAGGAGTCCCCGGGAGTCACTTCCAGTTTGTGCATTAAACCCTCCGTACAGTGACGGACGGTAAGGTGAATGCAAGGTGTGGCGCTGTCTGTATTGGCTCCCGCCAGCCCAGGGACGAGGTTCCAAGCGGGAACCTGAATTCAGGTGATTTTGGTTTTGTCTGAAACGGTGTCTGGTTCTCCAGGGGTCTCGCAGCCTGGCCGGCCTGTCTGCAGCCACACTGGCCTCGCTGGGCGGCACCTCCTCCCGGAGGGGGAGCGGGGACACCTCCATCTCCATCGACACGGAGGCGTCCATTAGGGAGATCAAGGTAACGCGCTCTGCCTACTCATGAGCCCTTATTCAAATCTGTCTCCAAAGGGGGGGGGGGGGGGGAATTAATTCCTAAAGTGCCAGATATTTCTTCTCTGTCCTGTCTCCGCTGCTTCCCCTACACAGGTGTTCAGGTAACCCCAAGACCCAGCACAGACCTGGTCTCCCCAGGAGGCTGTCCCTGCCTGCCCCGCCCAGCAGGGCCCACTGCACCCGGCCCCTGCTCCCCCTCAGCTCTGGGGCACGCCTGTGCCAGCACTCACCAGGTGCTGGGCCACTGTGTCCTCCTGCCCTCTGCACACCTCTGCCCCTCCTTCTCTCTGTCACACACCTCGGGAGACCTCACCACACTGTTTGAGTGGCTTTTTCTCTTCCCGCTGGGATGTGGGCACTTTTCTCTGTGCCATCCTCACCCCTGGGTGTGAGTCAGGAATGCGGTGCTGTTGTGAAAGAAGCTGCATCTGAAGGAGCCCACGCAGAGGGCAGTGTGTCCTCTGAGAGCTTTCTAATAATTAAAAGAGAGCCAGCTGCCACGGGGCTTTCCGAGCCGCTGGGGGCCCATTCGCCAGGCAGGCCAGAGAAGAGATTAAGTTATCTCGGGGGGTGGGCCAGTCCCCTGGAAGGTGCCTGGCGACTCCTGTGCTTCATCAGAGTGGTTTTTGCTGTTCTTCCTCACGTCCCCTGGGCCACCCCCAGGCCGCCTGCAGCTCTGTTCGCTCCTGCACCCCACTGATGTCGTAGTTGCTGTTTGCTGCCATCAGATTTGTCTCTGCCCCTGGGTTGTGAGCACCAGTCATTTGTTCAACAAGTGCTTATGGAGATTAGGCTCCCACAGACGCCAGGCGCAGGGATGTGTGGTGAAGGGGAGGGACAGAGTGGGACGGGCTCCGTGGTGCCAGCGGTGCTGACTCCTGCCTCCGGTGTCGTCTGTATCCAGCACAGAGCAGGACTGAGCCCTTAACCACAAGGAATATTTCTTGTTCCATTTTCTGAAGCTCTTTTGCCTGTTTTACAAAATTATGCAAATATAGCATGTGAGATAGACCTCAATTTTATAAAGTCTTGTGAAAATATGAGAACACACCTAAATTTTAATCTTTGTAACATGGAAATGTCTTTTATTTTACTCCAACTCTTAAAAAAATAACGACGAAGAAGGGCCTAGCTGGTGTGGCTCATGGTTGAGCATCGGCCCAGGAACTAAGAGGTCCCTGGTTCGATTCCCAGTCAGGGCACATGCCCGGATTGTGGGCTCGATCCCCGGTAGGGGCTGTACAGGAGGCAGCCAATCGATGTCTCTCTCTCTCATCCATGTTTCTATCTCTCTATTCCTCTCCCTTCCTCGCTCTCCAAAATCAACGAAAACATATTGGGGAGGGGGTGGGGGAGAAGAGGGAAGGCACTGCTCAGACTGTTAGAGGAGGCCGCCCAGAAGCGGGAAGCTCTCGCCTCTGTCCTGGTGGTCTTGTCCGCCTCTCCCTTGACACCACTTGCCTTTCTTGCCACCCCCCCAGGAGCTCAGTGAGTTAAAGGACCAGATTCAGGATGTGGAAGGCAAATATATGCAGGGGCTGAAAGAGATGAAGGTACCAGTGGATGGCGTGTGGGCTGATGACACTAACCTAGCTTAACCTAAAAGCATCCTCAAGGAGACCTTCCAAGCGCTGCTAACCCTACTGACGCCCCAGGCTCCAAATGCTACATGGTGTGTGCACGCAGCATGTCTTTGTGCAGCCTCTGAACCGAGAAAAGGCTACTAACACATTTCCCGATTCACGTCTTGTCCTCACGCAGCCCCCCTCCCTGGCTGAAAACCAGGAGCTGCCAGACAGGCGAAGAAGGGTTTCTTGTTTTCTTCGTTTCCCATAGCGGTTACATGCACACACCGCCTTCCTTCACCTGCCTCTGCACATAGCTGATGTCTGCGGTGACACAGTCCCTGTGGCCATGCTCTGAAACACCGAGCATTTGCATGTTGTAACACTGTACCGATTGGAGCGGTGTCTGAATGTGCCTCGTGCTGGGTTTCTTTGAGTATTAGGGTGTGGAGTCCCTCTGTTGTTCCGACCAGGACATTTAGTTGTCATTCCTGGAACAGTCAGGGCCTGTGCCCTGTCTTTATGAGGCAGCCATGGCAGACCGTGACCTAGCAATAGATGGTGAACCTGTCACTTCCCCGAGCTCCTCAGAAAGTACCCCCCAGTGTCACAGGGGTGACAAATCACACAACTTTCATATCTGTCACCTCTTTTCAAAAAGAAAAATTCAGACCCTGGCTTTTAACTCATGAGAAGGAAACCAGTGAGGCAGCCCAGGGATCACTGGTCCCACCCAAAATCGATGCCCTGGTTTGAGAGTGCAGGTGAGCCCAGCACTGGCCCCTGACAGCCAACCCGGCAGCACCACCCTTCGTTAGCGTTAGGTGGCTTATACCCGGGCACTCTGCTCTCCCTGCCTTCCCAAGCCGCCTTCCCCTGCTCTCTGTTTTGGGATCTAAATGCCACTGTGCTGTCTGGGTCGCCTGCCCTCTGAGGGCGGAGCCACGTGAGGGCCCTGCGTACCCTTTCCCTGGGCGGCCCTCCCCAGGGCCCACCCCCTGAGGCCATGTGCCTGTGTAGTTCTCCTGTGGGTTGAGAATCTGAAGTTCCACTTCATCCTTTCCTGGTGCGTGGGTACAGACAGGGATCCCTGGTAGCTCGGGGCAGGGGTTTGCTTCTCCCAGAGAAGCTGGCACGGTCCCCAGTTCTCGCCACGTAACGTGGCCAATTACTTCAGAAACCTGTTGAACAGCCTGACCCACTCCAGGTAGCTGCTGCCTCGTGGGGCTGGGACTCACTGCCGGTGACCAGACCGTCTCCATCGGGCGTCTCCCTGGTCCTGGGACTGCGTAAACCATCTTCATCCCTGGGCACGGTTAATAACTAACCTCCTGGGTGACGAGAATTTGATCACATCGAAAAGGAGGAATTTCTATGCGTTTGAAATTGCCCTGTGTTTCCTGTGTTGATCCGTTTGCTCTAAGAAAGTCTAAATTTAGGGCTGAGCTGTTTTTGTTTTTAAGAATGCTGAACTGAACTTTGTTGTTGTTTTCTTACTGTCATTTCAACAATATGTCCTGGGCTCTGCAGGACTCGCTGGCGGAAGTGGAAGAGAAGTATAAGAAGGCGATGGTTTCCAACGCCCAGCTGGACAACGAGAAGATGAACTACATGTACCAGGTCGATACCCTGAAGGACACGCTCCTGGAGCTGGAGGAACAGCTGGCGGAGTCTCGGCGGCAGTATGAGGAGAAAAGCAAAGTAAGCTTCAGTGTAGTGAGGAACGGTAGAGTAGATATGTAAATGTATGTACTTGGTATATGGTATGTACATATATGGTGTGTCAGTGTAGGTGTGGGGGGTGTTTTCCAGGTTCCATAAAAGTCTAAGCTTTCTTTTTAATAATTTTTTTTTTTTTTTAGTTTTCAGTGCATGTATGTGTGTTTATTTATTTATTTTTTTTTAATGAGTTTAGAAAGAGAAGATGGGAGAGGAAGAGAGAGAAACATCAAAGAGAGAAACATCAATTGGCTGTCTCCTACATGCCTCCTACTGGAGATCAAGCCCACAACTTAGGCATGTGCCCTACTGGGAATCAAACGGAACACAGAGAGCCATGTTGCCAGGTCTCTGGAGTGAATCTGATAGAGGGAAGGGTTGGGGGGGGGGGGGGGGGAAGAAGAATACAGCCAAGCTCTTCGGCTGCCCCCACCTTTTCTGTTTGGTCCCTGGAGGACAGAGTTGGTCATCCTCTGTTAAAGAGATGGGCTGACCAAAGTAGGCATATTTAGCCCCCTTTTTAACCCAAAGGGTAGTCCCTGTCATATTTCAAAGTTAGGGATACTTTTGGGGCCCAGAGCACAGCCAGCTCCATGGACAACACCAGTCCCCTTTCGGGGACCCTTCCTAGGGCATTACCCCTAGAGAGGAGCCAGGAAACGCTGTCAGTTCTATCAACTTCTCTAATTTTACAGTAAACCACAGGCTGTTATCCAGAAAACCCAGAGAAATGGGTTCGTGGTGTTAAAAAGGCCTTGGACATCGCGCTAACGTGGTCCCAGGTCATTGGTTCCAAGGCAGGGGTAAATCGAGGGGGCGTGAACCCAACCAATGGGAAACCTGACTCCCCCGCCTGACACCCTGCTCCTCGTCCGTCCGCAGGAGTTCGAGCGGGAGAAGCACACGCACAGCCTGCTGCAGTTCCAGTTCGCCCAGGTGAAAGCCGCGCTGCAGCAGAGGGAGGAGATGCTCGAGGTGGGTAGCTGCTTCCCATTCTGCTTTTCCCTTGTGACTCAGGAGCCTTTTGTTGGCTCATTGCTAAAGCCATGGGTTTTCTGGAAAACCGAGAGCTTGGGCTGATTCTCCGTGCCTCATTTCATTCGTGGGTGGTCCTTTGAGGCGATGGGACAGACGGAATAATGCCTGCATCCTAACCCTGGGGCCCGTGAAAACGTTGCCTTCCACGGCAGAGGGGACTTTGGGGTGGGAGATTATCCTAGGTTTTCTGTGTGTCACAGGGTCCTTACAGAAGGGAGGCAGGAAAGTCAAAGGCAGACATAGGGATGACATGAGGAGGGGCCCTGAGCCAAGGAATTGGGGGCCTCTGGAAGCTAAAAGAAGGAAGGAAGTGGGTTCTCTCCTGGAGCCTCCAGAAAAGAACCCAGGCCTGCCCACCCCGAGGCCTCAGCCTGTAAGACTCATTTTGGACTTCTGAGCTGCAGCACTGTTAGAATACATTTTTAATATATTCTGTATTGTTTTCAGAGAAGAAGGGAGAGGGAGAGAGAGAAACATCAATGATGAGAGAGCATCATTGATTGGCCGCCTCCTGCACTCCCCTTACTGGGAATAGAGCCAGCAACCCTGGCATGTGCCCTGACTGGGAATCAAACCTTCACCTCTTGGTTCATAGGCCGGTGCTAAACCACTGAGCCACGCTGGCCGGGCCATTTGTGTTATTGGAAGCCACTGACTTTGTGCTAATTTGTTACAGTGCCAATAGGAAACATACAGGGTTGATATTTACCGTTTTAGCTTGATCAGAACTTTAGTGCCTCTTAGTGAGAAGGCCCCCCAGACGGGTTTCCTCCTGCGCTTTGGGACGCTGGGAGTAGAACCCGGAGCCCTGCTGGCCTTCCAGAGTGAGCTCTCGATTAGTGAGAAGCTGCCTTTGCATCCCTCTGTTTGCTGGCTCCTGGCACTCCAACTCTCCGACTCTCTGCAGGTCCACACTTTTGCTTTCTGTTTAACCCTTTTTCTGTCTCTTCCTCTCTGCTCCTGTTCTTCAGGAAATCCGACAGCTGCAGCAGAAACAGGCGAGTTATATCAGGGAGATTTCTGATCTTCAGGAGACGATAGAGTGGAAAGACAAAAAGATAGGGGTAGGGCTTTCAAATCTTTGAAAATCTGTTCAAACAAGCTGTCTGCTTAGCAAATGTGATGCTTTTAAGATCGTTGGTGTGCTTGGATGTGTATGCATGCAGCCCCGCGCGATGCAAACTCAGTCATGCAGCGAACACCAACTCGCCCAAATTGATAGTAACTCCGGGTTGGAAGTTGGCCTCCCACGTGAACAGTCTCTCTTTCTCAGCACGAGCCGAGGGCCTGGCGGACGGAGACACTCCGTGAGGGGGCACTCGGGCACTCTTGTGTGCGCCTTTCCCCGCTTGTCCTGGGGCTTTTTCTCAAGGGGTCTGAGGAGGCTGTTAGGCAGCAAGTGCTTGAAATCTCCCCAGAGAGTCCTCAGACCCTCTCCCTCCCTGCCCGTAGGTGTGATGAGGGGGAGGACGGGACCACTCCCGGCACCTGCTGTGCTTCCTGGCAGGAGCTCCGGGACATGGTGGCCGTGGTACCGCATAGGTCTGGTGACGGTCCCCACCCTAGAGCAAGTCATCAGAGCGTTGGCAGTGTGACGCCGCACTTGTCTTCACTCTGATTCGCTCGTCCCCGCATACTCAGGGTTCTGTGCACGTGCACATGTACACGCATGCGTGTGTTTGTTTGCCTCAGGACCACTTCATGTTTGTGCCAACAGTCGCCAGGAATCCAGGTAGAAAAATAGTCTCAATTGCTAAAATGCAGGGTGTCCCCCAAAAATGTATATGCACTTTGAATGGTTATAAAATAAGAGTTTTTCAACATACAGTTCATTTTCAAAATTTAAAAGAATCTACAGAAGTGAATAATATTTTTTATCAACTCCTGTTTTCAAACTGGTCCAGGCGCTGCTGATTGGAGGCAAAGTGATGGAATCACAAATGTCAAGAATCATTTCATTTGGTATTTGTGTGCCTTCAGTGCGTCGACGGCTGCCAGTTTGGTACCATAAACTTTATCATTAATGTATCCCTATTGAAGAAAAAAAAAAAAAAAGTCTAGTATTACTTTAAGACCAATTTTCTCTGTTCAAAGCTTAGTCTGGCTTCACCCATTATTTCAAATCCGTTAAACCTGAAAATTAAATGGTGAAGTGTGTACATATTTTTGGGGACACCTGATAGTTGTCTCTGGGGATTCCTCAGCATTTCCTCCTCTTCTGTATTTACGCCTCATTTAAAGGCCACCGGCCTCTGATAGTCCTCTAACATGGCTATGAAACCGGACTGAGCAAGAACACGACACAGAGGCAGCCCTCCGGGGCCTCCGTTCAGGAGCATGGGCAGCAGCGTTGCTCGGCTGTCATGAACTGGAGGAGAGTTTGTTGCTGGCGTTTTGTGTCTTTGAGCATGTGATATCCAATGCCCCGACTGTAGCGCTTTACAGAGTAGAAGCCTCTTCCTTACTCTGCTTCTGACATCACCTGCTTACCTGTGCGAATTTCTCTCTCCCTGCTCCGCTGCACGCTCAGGCCTTAGAGAGGCAGAAAGAGTTCTTTGATTCCATCAGGAGTGAACGAGATGACCTTAGAGAAGAAGTAGTCGTGCTGAAAGAGGAGCTAAAGGTATGAAGCCCAAGAACAGCTAAAAGTGAAAGTCCCTGGGACCACGGCGAATGCTGGGATTCTCAGGAAGGAGCGAGAGAGAGAGAGAGAGAGAGAGAGAGAGAGAGAGAAAGAGAGAGAGAGAGAGTGTGTGTGTGTGTGTGTGTGTGTGTGTGTGTGTGTGTTTGCCGGCGTTAATTCCTTTTATGTCATTGATTTTTGTTCTGTTAACCAATGCAAATCTGAGGTTAACTGACACCGTGTGAAGTGAGTTCTGTGGGGTCTGCCCATGACCAGATGTTCACAACATATCTGAGCTCAAAAGCAACTCTGGTTTCCAGGAACTTTTTTATATTCTGTCTCAGTGCTTCCCATGCTCATTAATGAGTTCTCCATTGCCCTACCTGAAGTTAGAGGGTGCATTTGTTAGTTATATCAAAGGCTCAACTGTAGGGACTTCTCTAGCTGAATGTAGTGTGGGCTAGGTCATGCCATTTGTACTTTGAGGCCCACTGGCTTGCAGGAAAGTCATGTTCTATCTGGCCTTGTCCAGGGGTCTTTGATTGCTGGCTGGACACCGAATAAAAACACCCAGCATGCAGCAGGGGGGCCAGCTCTGGGTGGGCTGTGAGCACTGGAGGGGGCAGTGTTGAGGCAGGGCACGGCCGGGGCTAATTCTCATATTCAAAGGAGACATGTCAGTGTGGCTGCTATAATATATCCGAGGCTCAAGGCCAAAGCAGTGAACCAGAAAGCGCAGGCTTGAGCTTAGGCTCAAGTTCCCCCAGGGCTGTGAGTGCAGTGTTGGGGATCCCTCCAAGGACACAAGGGAGCTGGGGCAAGGAGATCCTAGAGTCGTGAGGCACAGCTGGCTTTAAAGTGTTTCACTATGGAGTGAGCCGGAGTTAAATTTCTTTTTGTTTATTGATTTTAAAGGGAGGGAGGGAAGGAGAGAGAGAGAGAGAAAGAGAGGACAGCAAAAGAGAAGCATTGATCCGTTGCCTCCTGCACCATCTCACAACAAACCTGCAACCTGGGCATGTGCCCTGACTGGTAATCAAACCCTGCACCGTGTGTGTGTGTGTGTGTGTGTGTGTGTGTGTGTGTTTGTATGCGCACGTGCGTGCACGCGCATGACAATACTCCAACCAATCCAGCCACACTGGCCATGGCGAGTTATATTTCTTTTTAATATGCCAAACATTCTAGCCACTTCCTAATTCCTACCTTAACTTAAATGTCATCACTCCTTTCAGAACATGTACACATTTATTTCTTTTTCTCTGTATCTCTTTGTAAAGAATCCAGTTGGGGTTTTAAAAGTCAGGTTCACCTTACCATGACTTGCTCGATGCTTCCTGTGGTGATAGCCTGCAGGCCTCGCCTCCAGTTTAAAAAGGCTCCGGCTGAAAATACCCGGTCACCACACATCAGGACATGGGCGGGGCCTGCGGGAGGAACGGCCCTTGCAGGAGAGTCCGGATCTGTGTGTTGATAGAATAGCCATGAGGATGGTGCCCAGCTCTTCTTGACTCTGTGAAATTTCCCTCAACTTGGGGAAAAATAGCTTCTTCTGAAATTATTATTAATAAAGTAGAGTTTAAGCTAAATCAGTCATTGAGTATTATGACGAGCCTGTTTTTGTTCCAGAAACATGGAATAATCCTAAATTCAGAAACGGCTACCAATGGAGAGACTTCAGACACCCTAAATAGCGTTGGATATCCAGGTCCTACCAAGATGACAAAAGAAGAGCTGAATGCCCTCAAGGCGACGGGGGACGGGACCCTCGGTAAGTTCGTGTTTTCCTGTGGCTTCCTGTCACCTCCAGGCAGCACTGGCTCACCCTCACTGCATTGTCAGGGTCCAAGCGGTCATCACTGCCCATTAACAGTCACTGCATGCCACCTGTCCTGTCTCGTCATGGAGTTCCTTGCGCACGATGTGATCACCCACGCGTGTTGTCTGGCGTGCACCTCTGATCAGTGCTCCCCATCCATGGCTGGGGATACGTGTCTCTTGCTTCTCAGAGCTGCCACAGGAGACTGTGATCGCAAGGAAAATAGTCTCAAAATTAAGTGATAGTTTTGATGGCGCCTACTTGGCTTTCCTCAGATATGTGCCAAGGATGGCTTTTTAACTTACTCTGTTACAGAATTGTCCAAAGGGGAAAATAGCAGAGGCTGTAAATCAAATTAGTCAACCATTTTTGCAAGCCAACATGGCACATCCTGTGAGATGTTCTGAGGGGATAAGGTGTCTATGGACAGCAAGTGGAGGCTGTGACAGGGGACATCTTGGTTGCCATCTCAGTGTAGCACTTGAGAGGGACAAACAGCCCTGGTGGAGAGGGGGAGGGACAGGGCTCTGGTGGCCAGTATGGTGTTTTTTTTACCAGTGAGAATTGGATATATCTGCCCCTTTGTCAGAGGTGACATTTCCATGTATGTCACAATTTTGCTTCTGAAAGAATATAAGCTGGGATCCCAGTAGATTGCAGGAATATCTGAAAGGCTCACCAATTAATATTTGTCATAATAATTGGCCTGGGGATAATGCTTCAGAATCACATGCGGCCTGAAGCTGCCACCGCATGTGGGGCCTCACTGGTCACCTGAGTGTCCCAGGTTTAGCGTGCGGCCAGAGTGGGGTCAGGCCGTGGCTGCTGTTTCCATTCGGAACCTTTCATCTTACTCCTTTTATTTATGGAAATGGAGAACCCTCGGGCTTGCTTCCAAGGGGGTGCCTCACTGTATGACACTGAAGGAACACACAGCTCTGTTAATTGTGTAAAGGTTGCTGAAAGAACATAAGCTGGTTAGCATCCACCATTCCTTTGTACTAGCTAGCTGAGGAATTTGATTATGCTGCTCTTGTTCAAATACACATTTTGCAAGTCTTGGATAATCGTTGTGAAAAACAGACACTTAAAGAACCAGAAATACCAGTTTTATAAGTGTCTTCAAACGTTCTTTAATCACTATCAGTAAAAAATTGTGGGCACTTTCCAATATATAATCTATTTTTAGCTTATGTACATATAAGGTTTCATTAATATAAAATGTACATTCTAAAACAAGCACTGATAGAAATCTTCAAAGGGTGAAGCAAAACTAACCCTAAACGGAAGTCCTCCTACTTTCCCCATTTTCGCCGGGTCAGCAAACTCACCGTGGAGCCTGCTGGGTCATGAAATTGTCAAGCTTTGACCTTCAGTGACATGGTATCTTATAAGCTGCGGTTCTGTTTGTTTGAAGAATCCAAACTATAACTTCATTCCAAAGCAGTGACATGTTTGTTAATGCATAATTTTTAATCGGTGAGTCATTTGTTATTTAGCGAAGAGGTCATCCTAATGTGAGAGATTGCTTCCCGCTGGGGCTCCCTGTCCCTTGGGAACGAGACGAAGGTGTTGAGGGCACAGGCCGCTTTCTCAGGAGACAGCGGTTAGGTGGGGGAGAGTGGGCTACTCTTTTACCTTGTTTACGCTATTGCAAAAGTTATCTTCCTCAAGATTGACCCAGAGGCTGAGTTTTTAAGACAAACGGAGTGTTGGAAGCTGCCTTTATGGCCATGGGCTCCGCAGTGCAGTTTGAGAGCTGACAATGTGTGATGTCAGACGTGCATTTGGGAATGAGCATGGGGAACACCAGCCTGAAGTCCTTAAAACCCATCCTTTTGGATTGTTCGGCTGCCTGATCCAAAGCTCTTTCTAGTTATTAAAACTTAGCTTCACCTTTCAAAACCAGTTCACACGAGAGGGCACCAGCAGCCACTCGCCATGAGGTGGTGGCATGGCCTTGGCCGGTGGCTGTGGGTGGGCGCGGTGGCTGCTTCGTGGCACAGAGCTGGCGGGCTTCTGTTCCGGGTGACTCTGTGCTGACTCTCTCGAGGAGCGGGGCTGGGTGGGCGTGAGAACTTGTGTTTACCTTGTCATGTATATTAAGTGGTCGCATCATGGGGTCCCTTCAATTTTCTCAATGGTCTTTTAGGAAAAGCCACTGCAGTGGAGGTGAAAAATGAAATTGTGGAGAAGGTGGGGAAAAGAGAAATCTTGCAAAATACTGAGCAGGAACAGCACAAAGAGGAGCCCGTACAGGATTGTGTGGACACTGAGGTCTTGCCTCCTGGTGACACTGCCGAGAAACGGAAAGCCTCTGAAGATAGTGCCCCCTCCCGAGGAACATTAGCTACAAATGAGGGGCAGGTTCAAAGCCCAGGGCTAGAGAGCACATCCTTCCTTGAACATGCAGAGCAGGTTGAGTCCAGGGAGCTCACAAGCACCCCAGATGCTAAGAGCTCAAGTGAACCAGATGGTGAAACCCTGGGTCCTGTGATTGGGCAGGGCAGCCGGAATGCCTTGGATATCAAAAACCAAAGCGAAGAAGCTGCAGAAAAACAGGAACAAGAAGAGCAAGCTTTTCAGACCAGTTTGGGAGAGGTTAGCACAAAACCACACCAGGAACCTGCTCCTGTGCAAATACCTGAAGTTGAAAAGGAGAGCAGCTTCCAGGGTGCGGTGGAGGCAGGGCTAGCTGGGTTGGAGGAGCAAGCGGGCACAGTGGCCTCACGTCCTCCAAGGTATAGCAATGACACAGTGAATCATGTCACATGTGCGGTCGATGTCCCCAAGGAGTTGGGCCCAAGGTCAGAGAAAGAGCTCACCAACCAGGAAGGGGCTGAGCCCAGGGAGGTCCCAGTTCCAAGCACGGGAGCAGCGGGGGAGCACAGTGAGGAAGAGGACGAGGGGAGAGGGTTCCTGAGTGAGAAACCAGTCCAGACAGAAGTCCCGGCCAGTCCCTCTTCTCCAGAAGCCAGTGCTCAGGAGGCAGCAGGTACACATACAGTAAAGGCCAAGAGAGAACCCAGTGAAGAAAAGAACGACCCACAGGGGGAGGGGTTGGATTCATCCCCAAAGAAGACAAAAAACAAGAAAAGGAAAAACAAGAAGAAAAAGTCCCCGGCACCTGTAGAGACCCCTCAGGATGTTAAGGAAGAGTTAACCTTTCAGAACCCAGATCTAAGTGAAGTTAAGGAAGAAAAGCAGGTAAACTCTCCTGATGAAAAATCAGGTGTGGACACACAAAATGAGGTCACTGGAAATCACAAACAGAACACTGTGGCCGGAAGCAGTGAAAGCCCGGGCTTTCCAGAAGACCCTAAGATGGAGTTGGTTGGAAAACTGAACCACGAAGATGGTGATGTCAACACCGAGGTGGGGAAAGGAAGAGCTGATGGAGAACCATTACTGTTGGAAGGCGATACCATTCAGGCCTCAGGCTCCAGAGCCAGTGCTGAGGCGTCAGAGGAAGGAGCTGCAAAAACTAACACTGAAGGAGCTGGAGCTGCTCCCAGCCGTCCCCCAGAGAATGAAGAGGTGCCTGGCAGTGCCCGGCTCGGAAGTGAAAGTCCCTCTGAGGACATTAACGCTGCCTCTCAAACAGAAGGCACAGAGGGCTGTGTGGTGTCCGAGTGTCCAAGCCAGAGCGTCAGGAAGGTTTTAGGTAGCATTAGTCTAGAAAACGATGACTCGGCACCAACAGGAGAGTCAGGGGACTCCCATTCAGAGTGCAAAGAAGAGACGAGGGGCAGAAGCGAGAAGGACAAAAGCAAAGAAGACTGCGCGTTGTCATAGGCTGAGGCTTGCTTGACAGGCGGAGTCAGAGAGGGGCCAGGACACCACAGTGAGTCCAAGCAACAGACTCTTGTCCGTTAGCTCTGCTGGTGAGATGTTCTAGATGGAGGTAGACATGTATGACAATCAGCCACCGTGTTATCTACTACTCTAAGTTATAGACTGTTACTTGTAGATTTATATTTTATTAGGGTTATCACCCAGATTAGAAAGAAAGACACATTCGTTATCATGTTAAGTTTTAACTGAGAGCATTCCAGTACTATCAAACAATAACATACACTGTTTATATTTCTGCCTATAATCAAAATAAACACAGTTCATGCCTGCCTTAGGCTGATATGAATGTGGATATTCTTGACCAAATATATCAGCATCTAATTAAAATGACCACATAGCATTCTAGGATTCCTACATCATGAGTAAATTAACTTGTCTCATTCAAATATACGTGCTTTCATATTTGCTTTTGATATGTACATGATAACCTGCATGGTATTTTATTTAAAAAGGTGATCAGCCGAAACCGGTTTGGCTCAGTGGATAGAGCGTCGGCCTGCGAACTGAAGGGTCCCGGGTTCGATTCTGGTCAGGGGCATGTGCCTTGGTTGCGGGCACATCCCCGGTGGGGCGTGTGCAGGAGGCAGCTGATCCATGTTTCTCTCTCATGGATGTTTCTAACTCTGTCCCTCTCTCTTTCTCTCTGTAGAGAATCAATAAAATATATTTTTTAAAAATAAAAATTAAAAAAATAATAATAAAAAGGAGATCAATGGCCAAACATCACACAGGTCCCTGAGTGATGAGATTTGCGCCTTAGGACAATAGCTCATCACTTTAGGGATAATGAACCTCTTCAAGTCCTGGGAGTTGTTATTTGCCTTTACCTCATCTAAGGATTTTATCTCAGCTAATGCTGTGGAGTTCACTGTTCATGATACCTGAGCTTATTTTATAGATTTTTTCTCTTTTTTTTTTAATTTAATACATTTTAATTAAAGAAATTAAGTGGGTGGGAAGGATGGAGTGGGGGGGGGGAGAGAGAAACATCGATGTGAAAGAGACACATCAATGGTTGCCTCCCACACGCACCCCAGCCAGGGCAGGGGATCAAACTTGCAACCCAGGTACGTGCCCTTGACCAGTAATGGAACCTGCACCCTTTGGTGTGATGGCTGACATTCTAACCACTGAGCAACACTGGCCAGATCTTATTTTATAGATGTTTACTTCACTTCATGCCAATTATTTATCCAAGTCGTTTTACACAAAGATTTTTTAAATTATTTTCTGGAAGAGATGTTATGTTGAAATTGCATTTTCTATACAATATCAGGGTGGGGCGAATCATTTCTAAAAATTTTTAACCTTAAGATTACTTCTCTTTCTGTTTGTCTAATCATTATTCAGAAGACCAATAGAAAAGAGTACTGTTCTTCAGCAAACTGCGAATTAGACTATGACAGGATATTTTCAATAGCTGAATCGCTTTTGGTATTTTAGTATAAATGTTTGCATTTGTTTGTCTCCGTATAGTCTTATTGGAAAATTCTTGTTCTGGTCTTCCTGAAAAATATATATATATTTCCTATATAAAAGATAATTTTTTAAATAATTGTAACATGAAATTGAAAAATAATTGTAATGAACATTATGAATGCTGTTAACACTTTATGAGAGTCTATGACTTCATCGTACTGTTACAAGATGTAATTGAGTGCAGAAAAGACCAAAGCCTCAATAAAATGTGAGGCCAGCTTGTTATCATGTATTGATATTTGAAATAAAGACATTTTTCTAGTTTTACAAGCCTGTGGTTCCACTCTTTTGGCTCCTTGGACTCTGACCTTGGCTGCTATTGTACCTAATTCACCTGTGAGGCTGTGCCCACTTCCGAGTTACTGATTCCCTGTCAGGGTCCCGGGAGGGACTCCCGCTGAGTACCCTTCATCAGTAAGGACTGAACTTTTCTCCCGGCATCTAGCATCTCAGCTCTCCCTATGAGAGGCGCACATCTGCAGCTAGCCCTCCTCCCTCTCAATAGCACATCGTGGCAGCGCTGTGCCTTTTTGGTTTTGCAAAGCGCAGTGTCCACCCCCACCCCCGGTGCTCTATAAATCAGAACAACATTCACTACCCGCTGGCCCCGTGGCCACCAGGGACTCCAGTCCTGAGCACCCAGTGCCACCCTGGCCCGGACAAGCCACAAGACAGGGGCAGAGGATCCCGGCATCTAGATGGGCCGAAGTTGCATCATCTGGGGAGGACGGCGGAGACCTCCCCGCAGCCTCGCCTGGGAGCTGTGGCTCTGAGGAGAAAGATCTCCGTCCCGTGGGCCAGGACTTAGCGCGCTTTGAAGAGTGTGGTGAGAACGGCAGGTAAACGTTGACTTTCTGCATACGGGTCCTGAGTGGAGGGTGATGGGGCTGCCTGAAGCCCACGGGTGCCTACGAACAGAAAAGCCTGAGGCTTGCTGGAGAATCAAGTCCAAGAGCGGCAGAGAAGTTGGGAGGGTTTTAGCTGATGTCTCTATCTTCAGCAAAGCTGCTTTCACACTGGAATGCACATTGGGAAGCAGCCTTCCTCTCCAAGGCCTCTGGGGCCCAACTCACTCAGTGTAAGATCATTAAGCCACGTTACGCTCTTTCCTCCTTCATCCAGGTTATTTAACAGCACACCTACGGACACGAGGGTAAACTTCCCATCCCTCCCGCCAGCCAGCAGTCTCCCTTAGTCACGTGTTTCCTGAGTAAACGTTGTTCACCACTTCATATAGGAAGGGCCCTGTGCAGTGATCAAACAGATAGGACCCAGCTCTGCGTGGCAGTGGACTGCTGAGAATTAGGACAGAGAAGCACCAAAGAGAAGGACTGAAGAGCCAAACCATTTCCTGGTCACCTGAGTCTTCATTGTGAGCATCAGTTCCTCTGCTCCAAGTGTGAGGTGACGGTGTAGTCCAGCACAGTAACTGATGCTCACAACGGAGGCCCTTAGATGGTGATGGAAGGGTTACCTTAGGTCTGTTAGGTTTAGCAAGGCACGGGGTATTCCCAGCAACCTGGGAACATTTCAGTGTTGAAAGATTGAGACTCGAGAAAGAATCCAGGCACACCCTGCCAACCACATCCCCAGGGGAACCAAGACCACAGGGGTTCCACTGTAGCACAGAGCAGAGGGAGGGGCACACTGATCACATAGAAAAGCTGGCACATTTCTCGGCCCAAAGCAGAATGTAGCTACTGTATGGAGAAGTAAATCTTCCTTCAAAAATATAATAAAGTGTCAGTATGGGTGCATGTAAAGAAAAGGGAACGTTACCTGAGATTTGAATTATAGGTTGCGATTTTATAATATACAAAGGTTGGGAAGTAGTAAAGGTTGTGAGGTTTTAGGAATGAGATGGATGGCATTGACAACTTTCTGTAATGTTAGTACTTCCAGTTCATGGCCTGATCATTTACACTCCCATGGTCACAGGGATCTGGAATGCTCTTTCTCGGGGGTTAGATAGTTTGGGATTTCTGTTTTCTGTCACTAGACTCCTGCCCCAGGAGAGAATCTTACCTCGCATGCCACCATGAACGCCCCAATAAGATTTACTCCAAGCATCCAGGCTCCAGAAGGAAAATGGTTGTGTGTGTGTGTGTGTGTGTTCATGTTGCTTGCTTGTTCAGTGTGATGAGCATATATACAAAGGGAAAACTTTGTCTTTCAGGAGAAAAACCCTTCCTCTCCCTTTCACCTTGTCCACTGTCCCTCTTACCTCAAAGACTTAACACTTTTCCAGATGTGAATGGCTTCTGTTGTTCAATTGAATGGAAGCCAGTGGGGCTGGGGCTGGTGTGGACAGTTCCCATCTGTGCGGACCTCCTGGGCCCTGTAAACAGGAGAAAAAGAATCGTCCTTAGCAACCTGTTTGCCTTTGACCATAAGGAGCGGGTATTGTCCTGGCCTGTGGGGCTGGCCCTGGGAGGACGAAACAGACCCTGTGAAACTGACCATAGGATCAAGCTCCGACCTGTGAGGAGGGAGTGGGGAAAGCAGGACATAGTGGTGTCTTGAGAGACCAGTCAGCACCAGGAAGAGCGACTACTTGGTGATGTGGCTGTGACTGATTGTGGGCCTTACTGTACCCCAGGCGAGTGAGGTGAGGCCAAAGGAACAAGTGACAAGAAGGGCTTGGAGAATTCCAATGCTCGTTCGGCTGCCCAGGGGCTGGCTCTGAGGCCTTCATTAGCTTTTTTGTTTCTCAAATGCATACCAGAAAAGTTGTTGGAATTTAGTATAAAAAACAGCTTTTTTAGAAGTGTAATCCTTACCAGTATTCCTAAAATACTTTTAATGGCCACTCATTTTAACTTCCCACTATGAAAGAAAACCCTACATTTGAGTCATTGTGACTTCAAATTCCTTATGCCTTGTTTCTGAAAACTGCAAATCCAAGTTCTGTAAATGGATATTTGTTTGAAAATCGGGTGTTAGAGAGCAACGATGAGCAGTGCTATTAGGGTAGTAACAGGTTTGCAATATTCTTGTTAAGAATTACAATAAGCATACCAGTGATGTAACACCATTCACTCAACAATTTAGATTGTTGGTTTTTAAAGCTATTTTAAAAAGTACTCATTTCCTTCATATCAGGTAATTTTGCTTTTTTTTTGTTTCCATTATCTTAAAACTATTTTGTTTTCATCTTAATTCTGCTTTAAAATTTCTCTTTCTTAAAAATTCCACATCTCCCTATTTTTCACATTCTCATCATGAGACTTAACGTTAAAGGGTCCTTATTTTTTTCCTAAGACTATTATTACAATTTAACATTTGTTTTTTACTTGCTATCTAAGATATGTGAAGTCTCCTAATAGAAAAATAATGAAATTGTATAATATATGAGCTTCAAGACCACTTTCTGATATATCCAGAGTTTCTTATGATGCCCGGGATTTTGTACATAGGAATATAAAATAGATAAGATAAAATGAAAAGTGATGTTGAATAAGAAATCTGGGTTTATAAGTATAAATTTTTTTTTCAGTGTTGGGTGGGTGGGTTTATAGAAGGAAAACAATGGATCATCCCTGAGAAGCAATTTGACTGTGGGTAAATCAAAATGGAGTTCAAAAGGATCATGAAATTATCTTGTACTTAACATTTTCTGGAGTGTATTTTGTTACTGTGCCTTCCAAAATAACAACTTGGGGTGTTTGGACAAACAGCGTGAGCGTATAACTTGGGTTAGAGTGTGGCTATGTGACTTTTTAAAAGAAAACAAAGGTGCATTTTAAATGAACTGTTTCCATTTCACATGACTGATCAAAAGCAGGCAGTGTGAGAGCGCTGGTCCCTCGGGTACAGGACGCTCCAGCCGGGAGTCCGGGCCCAGCTCTGAGGTCTGAGTTTAGGTTTGGAAAAACAGTGCAGTGATGCACTTAGGGGCGAGGCCCTGAGGCTGGGTTGTGAGGCCTCAGAAAGTTGCTTAGTTGTTCTGGGCCTTGAGTCTTAGGATGGAATAACAGAGCCTCCCGCATGGCTCCATGGGCAAGAGAGGCTGGTGGCCGTGCCTGGCACAGTGTGGGTGCACCACACTCGAGCATCGCTCTCTCATCACCTCATACCAGCTCTCCTTGAAGCTGGTGTAGGATTTGGCTGAAACCCCCACACTCCCTGCAGGCTGTGGATCCCCCCTGCACTGAACACTGCATTTGGGGAGATGTTTAGGGAGATTTCTGGGTGCTTATGTTTATGCATCCTGATATATCTAGGGTGTGGGAGGAAGGACAGAAACCTAAGTATTCCTGCGTTCTTCCTCAAAAGAATAAAAGTGTTTGATAAGTGGGATAGCACATACGTAGTTAGCAAACTATATTCGTAGTCATAGTCAAAACTCCGGCCTGGGTGAGCCTCTGAGAGAAATACTTCTGGGGGCACACTCAGGACGTGTGGGCTAATGAAAACCCCGGCGATGTGTCGTGGTGATGCTCCGTGTGTTTGTACCTTGCTAATGACGTTAAACCATGAAGCCTGTGAGATCTTGTGTTGCAGTGTGGTTTGGCCCCAGAGCCCTTGCATGCTAACCCCAAGTAGAAGATTAGCCCATTTGCATGCGGTCGGACGCTGACGAGACAAGCATGTGCTGGGAGGCCGAACTCCTCCCCCGCCCTGTGTGTGGCCTCATTCGCTGTGGTACGTGTTTAATACCTTCATCCTCGGTTTCACTAACCCGAGTGCTCATCCTCTCCCGTGTAGCCATCTGCTGAAGGTGCAGTCCACAGAGCCCCCCTAAACCTGTGTCTTTCTGATTTCTTCAGACATTAGGTTGAAAAAGCTTGTTGACGAACGGGAGTGCTTACTGGAACAGGTAACAACCTTTTTATTGCTTTACGAGTTGTCGAGTGGGGCGCCTGAAACCAGGAACCTTCCCATCCTTCCTGCTTGCTTTGTCAGGACCCCTGATGCATCGTGCTTGAAAACAACCATCACGCCAGCTCAGGCTCTTGAAAATTTTTATCCATCTGAAGTCATAGGAGGTTTAGAGAGGAGGTCTCAGAGAGCCACGGCCGTGTGCTGGGTTGGGGAGGCAGCACACAAATGACTGCCTAACATTACTCGTCTGGTGGGGACTCGGTTTCAGCACTTCTGCACCTAGGAGGCTCCAGATGGCCCTCCCTGGCTCCTTAGTGAATAGAGCGGAGCTTAACAGCACCCTGAATTGCTAACACTTAGACAAACATTTAAAGTACTAGAGGCCCGGTGCATGAAATTAGTGCACTCGGGGTGGGGGTGGGGGAGTCCCTCAGCCCAGTCTG